TGAGCCCCGCCTGGCTACTGGGCCAGGCGGTCTGGTGGCGAGCTGCGTCGCCTGAGACGTGCGGGGCGTCGCCGCCAGGTGTCGAAGCTGCAGACGGAGCTGGACGCCGAGGAGAGCCGACGCCAGGAGCTGCTGCAGGCCGACCGGCAGGCCGAGCAGCCCAGCACGCGCACCCGCTGCGCCCTCCTGCTGGCCCAGTCGGACGAGAAGACCAAGATGCTTGGCATCCTCATGGTGTACTACAACGCCGGCCTGCGGGACGCCGAGCAGTCGGCGCGGAGCGGCGGCGCCGTCCAGCAGTGACTTCGGCCGGCGTCCGTCGCCGCCCGGCCCAGGCCGCGCGCGCGCCTCTCCTCAGCGCTGGACGTCGGCTCTCCCACCAGTGGCTGTTCGCCGGCCGGTGCGTAGTCTCAAATGCGAAGCCGGGCTGGTGATGTGAAGCTCTGGGTCTTCTCCGCAGCCATGATGGGACGGGCGCTGGCAGGCGGCTTGCGGCCTCCTCGCCAGGCTCTCCCGCGTGCGCTGCGGTCGTCTGTGGCCATCTGTGGCCCGCCCGGCCCCGCCGCCACGCCTCTGGTTCGCGTAGCATTTCCCATGGTAGCCCGGTGTTTATCTCTCCCTGTTTGGCCGGTGCCCGGGCCGGGGTGGAGCGGCGGTACGTACCCGCCCTCCGTGGCGGCGGCAGAACCGCCAGCCTCGCCGGTTGTCGGTCGGCCGTCACGGCCCACCATTGGCGCTTGGTAGTGCAGTCCGATTTCGTCTTGAGCTCACCGAATCTCTGCATATCTGCTTACGGGCGTGACTGTGATGCTGGTGATAGTGCCCGCGGTGTCGACAGCTGCTGGTGATAGTGCTCGCTGTGGCGACTGGTGCTGGTGATAGTGCTCGCGACGATGGCTGCTTGTGAGCGCCGCGTCTGGGGCGGTATTTTGCTATCTACTTATGGGTTATGTATGGTCGGCTGTTTGTGAGACGCTTGACTCATTCCGTCGTGTGCACGTATGAGCGTCCTCCGGTGCTGTCCTGGCACATGGATGCGTGCTCGCTGGCTGTTGCGATCTTACGGCGCATGGCCCACTCAACCAGCCAGTACTGCTCTATGTGGCTCGGTTCATGGCGGCCTTGGTCTGTTTCTTTTTACCGAGACGTGCGTCGACGTAGTGTATTGTAGCGTATTGAGAAGCTCACGTCCCAGCGTCCCAATAGTCCCGGCGTGGCAGAACAGCTGATAGCTGTGTCAGGACCTAACGTATGGGGAAGCCATATGGCTCCGACATTGCAGCGGTCAGACATGGGGTGTTAAGAGTTCTACAGGTCCGTCTGGGCCGACACGCCCTTCGATTCCCCTGTAGTTTCAGTCGAATACGTCAAGTCTTAAGCTCGTGAGTGAGCGACCCTGGATGCTTTTTAGCCGTAATGTCACATACAGTCTGAGCCCAAAACATCATGCCGATTCGGATGGCGCCATATCGTGTTAGAATCACGTAGGTCGGCTGTCTGGAAACAGAGTCAAGTCGGGAGCGTACCTTGCGGTCCTTTTAGAAGCACCGTTGAGTGATGCTTTCGGATAGTTGAATAGCAGTCGAATTCTTTCTGTTACACAAACTCCAAGTCATTTTCGCCAGGGGACTTATTCATGTGGGTGCTGTCCGTCTGATGTACGTGGTAGTCTACCGCGCTGTTGAACCTAGACAGGAATCTGTCCAACCGATCTAAGCCTGCATTTTGCTGCATCGCCATGTCAGTGTGTGCTAATTTGCCCCTGTGGTTGGAGGAGTCTTTTCGGAATATATTGTAACTGTTGTCTAATGTTCTATGCGTTTTTGCACCACCATTTGCAATCAAAACCGGATAACGCGGGAGGTGGGTGCCGCGCGTAAGGTCCCGCCGTAATTGTCACGGCGACAGTAAACCTGCGGGAGTGATGTCTGGGTCGTGCGAAATAATAGAGTATACATAGCCGGTCCGGCGGCCGAGGCGGTACACGTAGGATAGTGCGGCCACACGTGGGCAGGATAGGCCTGAGCGCCACGTCCACAAGAACGTACGGGCATGCTGAGCACAAGCACGACTGGCTCAAATTAACAGCAGCTGAGGTAACTTCTACAAATGATGCGTTAGAATACATTTGCTGTAAAGTTTCAAAAATTTTGCCTCCTGGGAGTTTTTTGATGAATTTGCGCACGCTGATCATGCTTTGATTTATTATACTTTGATAGTTTGCATTACCAGACGTGGCATTGAAATGTTAGCCCACAAATTTATACTGGTCCCGCGTTCTTTTAAACGTTTCATCACTGGCTTCCCTGTTTGACGTCCCTACATCAGTCTACAGGGGTGCTGGAGCGATTTCAAAGTGAGGGGTACGACAATGCCTTGCCATCCCCGTATCCCCATTATGCCCAAATTTTGAACATGACTTTTTCATTCAAATTCGGCGAATATTTTTGTAATTGTAGTATTTTTATCGACGCCGGCGTATGTCTTGGTGTCACGCGTCAAAGATGCGACAAATTTCATGATCTTGTCTGAACCGATACCATTATGCATGTGAGCACTGTGGCACAATATGGACTTGTATGGGCCTGAGTTAAAAAATAGACCGAATTCCGAAATGGCTCATAATGCCGAAGCATGGCAACTTTTTTCATCAAAGTCTTTCATTGCTTCTGAAACGTAGTTGAAAGCTGTCAAATGAGCGTGATATGATATAATGCATGACATGATATAGCATGATATAATAGCATGATATAATGGTGTCGATATGAACTGGCCAGGATCGCACAAGCTACCATCTATTATGCGGGAAAGCGGAAGCATGTTGCCCCGTGCGCGGCTGTGTGCCCTTGACCTCAGTACCCACATCCACCATTTGGCTGGTGATAATGTTAAAAACGAAGCAAAAACGAAACCAGATGCATTAAGTGAATCAATTGCCTCGAATCTATAGGGATCCCGCACAACCACCGATTGTAGTAGTAAGGATTCCATTGGATATCAGCCCTGGAAGCCCCTTGTCCTTAAGTAATTCACAACGTCTTCATGCATTCGGCGCCTGCCACATTCGCTCCAAGCGTACCCATTTGCATCCGCTGATTCCCGTCAATCCTGTCACACAACCTTCTGCCGTGTTTACGCTTCTCAAGTTCTCCACAGAGCACCACACCTGACATACTCTACCTGTTTAAGGCGGGAACGTCCGTGTCATGCTGCATTATATGAGTCAACGTGACGATAACTGACGGGACGGTCGGTACTCTGAAGAGACGTCGACGGCGATCTCGGGAGCAAGATTTCTGCGGGACCCCGTCACTCCGTGACGCCGTGACGTCGTGACGCAGGCCAGCGTCGCCTCCTGACGCAGAGCAGCGTAACGTCTGGACCCCGTCACGCCGTGACGCCGCGGCGCGAGTCAGCGTCGCCTCCTCGCGTGGTGTCATTTCGCTAAACGCCATTACGTTTCTCCAACCGATTGGCAATGAAGTTTGGCGGTGCGGCTGGCGGCGGCGGCGGCGGCGGTCACGTGACCTGGCAACACGCCATCGGAGGGGGCAGCCAGGCGAGCCCGCGCCCCGCTCAGTGGCCCGGCTGCTCCCGCTCTTTTCGGTCCTCCCCCTCCTCTTCTCAGGTACGTTCCCGCTGTCGGCGGCGGCTAGCGTACAGCTCGCGACGCTCCCAGCTCGAAGCCTTGTGACCACGCGAGAACTGAGGTTGCCCGGGGCCTTCGGCGTACTGGAGTTGGTGTACAGAGCTTGCTGCCTCCCAGTTAACTTATGCTGTCTTTGAAGTATGCCTATGCATGCCGCTCATGCGCGAAGAGTCCGAACAATGACTGACTTTTTATCAACCAGTTTAAAAACAGACCTTTTATCGTACTGTTACAGCTTGAAGAGCGAGCTTCTGAAAAAAGGGCAGCAAAATTAACGAACCAGGAAAATGCTCCACAGCATCGACGCATACAGCTCAGTAATTATTTGCGGTACGCCAAATCACTGCAACGCTTAATTTATTCGTTTTGCTACGCGAAAGACACGATCTGCATACAGAGGCAATGTCTGTGCGACATACCTGGCTTTAAAATGTAGTTTGGTCCGCTCAGTTTCCCGGCTCTCCTTTCGCCACTGGGTTTAACGTGTTATGAAACCACTGGAACCGCTTGTGTCCGCATGACAAGGCGGATTTTAAGTAATCTAAAAATTGCGAAGCACGCAAACTCACACGACATAGAGGTATGACCTGGTGACATTAAAAGGCTTCTTTAGGTTTCCTTTCCAAGGTGATGTGCAGTCCTTTGTACTTTTTCCTATAAAAAGTACGAATGCAGTACAAATAACTCGGGTTTCTATGAAATACCGCGTATATAAAATCGGGTTTCTTAGTAACTCGGGTTTCTATTGCCTAAATGACTTCAAGAGATACACCTCCGCCCATGAAACTCGTGTCCTGGTAATTATTGGCGTCGGAATGTAGACATGTCCCTGCATGTTGAAGAAAAGTAGTATTTAATCAAGGCCTCTGTTCGATACCTCACTACGAGCCAGTTGACTTCTCTATGAATGTGAAGGGAATATGCCACCTTTATTAATGTTTTCACTTATTGTTAGATGAGACTATTTCATACAGTCGATAACATTTCATGTACTGTTAGAAACACGCCAATTGTTCAAAAATATTTGTGAAGAAATAGGGAGCCAAAATGCTCTAATTAGGAGACACACCTACAAATATGACCCCACTACCATGGGAAGTGGAGTCATATTTGCCACGAAACGTCATACGATGACTTCAGTTTCATTTTTAATGGCGTTTAACATGGTGGCTGCTTTTGGAGTGTTTTGGCTCTGAAAACATTATTTATTTGAATACCCAGCTCGTTTTAAGACTGTGCTTACTAAGCACGTATATACCAGCGGCTCATCACGTGGTATAGCAACACACATGTTCAATCATCCGTCAATGTATTTCTCGCTACATGGCTTACGCCGCCCGCTGTGCCTATCACAAACGCTCATTTGTGTGACGTCATTCATATCCATAATGGCGGAGACGTTCTGATAATCTCACTTCATGTGCACCGCGGGCTTGGTTGTAGGAGTTCACAAGAAGTTTTTCAACACGGCAGTTATGATAATTCAAATTATGAAGGAGATCAATGTGAAATTCCCGCACAGTTACGGAGGCCATGTCAAATATCCAACTTAACTGTCTTTAATACACCAAACTTGCACATTTCAGAACTAGCATCTGAGGCTACAAAGAAAGAAAAAGTCTGGAGCTGACCCAGAACATTCACCCCGACTTTGAACTTCAAAACAATTGCAAATTTTTTACTTAGTGCATCTTGTTGGCCCAGTTGTGACACTCCGCAGTGCTATTATTAAAGATATAGTCATAGAGTTTCACCGGGGTATGCCTTGTCACATTCCCAAGTGTTGGCGCACTGCTGCGTATCCTACGTACCTAGCGTTCTATTGTCAGAGCAGCATATCTTGGTAACCCGGCAGTGAAAAAAAAACATTTTACACATAAGTTTATGTATAGGAGCTGTTTGTTTTCGCGTCTTCGAGAATGACCGCATTACGTCGCTGACTTAAAAAAGGGGTAACATCTCAGCGATTTGAGGAACGTTATGCAGCGTCAATAAAACCATTTCCATAGAATGTTTCTCAAATCAGGGTTCTTTCACCCTGATGTGCTTTCTTCTGGAATTCATTTAGTTTTTTTTCGCAAAAAGCGTACAATTCAATTCATACCATTGTGGCGACCGTACATTCGAGTATAGCGCTGCTGGATTCTTAGTTTAGGTGCACTAGATTTAGTCCACTTGACACTTGGCTGGCTAGCGATAGTCACCTCCAAAAGGATGATAAAAATCGTGACCATCACTGGATTGCCCTCGTAGTTTTAGCGTGAACCCAATTTACAATTTTGAGCCCTGGTGCTATTTGTCGGCCACTAGGGATGTCAACAAGATAAACCGCCAACATGTTTGAAAAGCAGGCCTGACGCGCCAGCCAGTCCGCAGAGCATAGAAAACATCCCAATGGGTTGTGACTGGGGCATGGCACGGCGAAAAGTGTATTCGAAGTCAATACACAGGGCGGCTGCACTAGCCATGTCAACACTGCTGGCGCGAGCAACTTCTGGCTTATGTTACAAGCCCTGAGATGTGCCACCAATGCTGGTAGCAGCCGAAAGTCGTCGACTCTAGCCTATCACACGTAACGCCATTTTTCCAGTATAACCCCAGTGCAAACGGCCTTGTTGGACCGCGTGCACCGGTATTACGATATTTGCAATTCATCGACGATTTACCGGCTGCGTGATGGTGGCCCAACGCGGTCCACCAACCACAAACCCACGCGAACGAACCGTGCCTTATTACCAATAATCCAGCGCCGGCCAGCTCTCACCTGGTGCCAATGACGGTGATGTTCTGATGCCGGTGCGCTGTCGGTACAAGTTTGTCGAAAGAGTATTCTGCATCTCTACTGAAAACCGAATGTCATCGCTTTTAAATGCCCCTTGCATGCTTAGTTCACGCGACCTACCCTAATTTGCATTTCGCGATTCCAGTATGACGTATGCGATGACATGCGGGACCTCCATATTTGTCAACAATAGCTGCGACAACTATGGCGCACACAGCTACTTCGAAAGCAAAGCATCCACTGCGGCGGGTGTTTCTTCGGCGACGTCGTCGCACCAGTTCCCCGACAGCATGATTTTGAAGTGATGATGATGTGTGGCCAGAGTCTTGACAAGAAAGGGTCCAGAGCGTGATGAGTGGTCCTCTGTGAAAAGAACTCCCCTTAAGCAGATTTAACCCCCTTTATTTCGGAAGCGACAGTTCTCTTCATCTTATCACTGTCAGCCGACGGCCGCGTGCATTGATAGGCACGTCCGTTGAACACAGAAGAGGCCTGTCCTCTTTCCGTATAGGAGCCCCGTGAGTAGAACACTAGGTGACCCATTCATGTCCTTCCTTATTCCGATATTTCCCTTTAAGCCCAGGATATATGCCGGTTTCCATTCTTGCCATACGGCAGTGGGGCTCCCGGGTCGATCTGGAGGCTCTCAGAGGGACGCATAATACATCGGTCCCCGCCCTGACGCAGAGGTCCCACTGGCCGGAGTAGTTGGCCCCGGATGGGCTCAGGGACCTTCACTGGCGAGAAGGACGGTTTGCTGTCACAGGGTGCGTGTCCAGCTCCATGGCTGTGCTCTGCCTATCTACATCAAGTTGTCGATAGATTCATGCAAACAAGCGCAAGGGATGTTCTCCAAGGTGGTGGTGGCGGTTTTTAGTGGGGACGGGTGTTTCCTTCTTTTTTTGGTTGCTTCATTTCAGTCAGCGCCCATAGGGCTAATCGTAAACGTTCCGAGAGCTTTTCCATCCTCCCCCCCCCCCCCCCCCTCCGATTCCCGCGTCCTTGACTACAGAGGTGCGTGTCTGAGCCGCGGCCGTCCGGATTCGCGCAGTGTGTTCATGGCCCTAGGGATGTGCGTCTGTCCTTTGGCAGCCTGACCCGGTGTCTACATGTCGCCGCGTACCGTCATTGGCTGCCGGCCAGCCTCACGCGTCACGCGCCTAAATATGGCGCGCGCCGCTCAGCTAGCGTTACAGCGCGGGTGAGACGCGCGCCGACCCTCGCGCCAGAGGCGTGCCCAGTGTAACGGCTTAGAGTGGGCGGCACCGCGCTCCTGGGTCTGATCAAAACATGGCCGTCTGCAGCTGATGCATCGTGCCAAATGGAAGGCATGGTGCTTTGCAGCGTTCCTACCACCGGTGTAGCATGAGGGTCGCGTGGGTCGCATTTTACAACCCGGCGAACAACGTGAAATGATGGGTAGCAATTTTTTATTGGAAAGGATGGAAAAGTTTTTAATCTCTAGTGTTTAATTCAGCTCTTCTATGATAAAGGGTTGTCTTGCGCTATTTTCCTGACTTCTGCGGAAAATACGTCACTCTACTTCAAAGTTCTAAAATTCTGGTGGGAAAGCTAACCTACCTAAAGTCTGCAGAACTAGGTTCGCACAAGCTGGTGGAGGGGAATATTTACCAAATAGTGAGCTTTTGTTGTCTAGAACAGACTTTTGCACATAAAAGCACACCTACAGTTACAAGTGCGCTCATTTCATCATATGTGATGCTCACCTCATAGCTTCAGATGTGGAACATTCACTTTAATTTCACATGGGCTTTTGTTTGCAAAAACGAGCATTGTGACAGAGACGAGCATACTTCCAGTTCTCAAATGATGTCACAATATATTTGCACGCGCATAGGTGTAAAAGGTAATATTTGTCCGGTAAACGATAGCTTTTAATTCAGTAGTCTGTATTTCCTTCGCGGACATTTCTGGGGTATCTTTAGAGTGGAGGACCAATCATCGGCTGACCCAGCACTGTTTTCATCAAATTAGAGCGGAACCCATGTCTAATACTCTATATTTTCTAGCTTTTTTCCCTGTACTCACTGTTCGCTAAATTAGCTGATATTTGCATTTTGTTTTGGACTAAACTAACTATTTTCATGATCATTTCTGCAATGCACTAACATATCACTTCTAAGGTTTCAAGCCCTGCTGTTTCTGAGCTTAATGCATATGAACTTGTGCAGCTTATGACGCACCGCCTACGGCAAAGTCACTCAGACATGCATGGCGGCATAGCAATGTCACGCGAGCATCCTGCCTCACTGGCTGTTCTGTGCTCAGGTCAAGAGAATCACGGCTACAAATTATTCATATATGACGACGCAGCGATAGATGTCCCAACGACAGACGGCAATTGGATAACAGCCAATTTTAGCCGCTAATTGCGTGTCTCGGACGTGAACCGCGTTTCGCCATAACTAGCAGAAACATTTGGGCACTTACCTAGATATGACGGAAATGAGGCTGAAAACCGATAACGCAGCAACACAAATTCCAAAAGACGCAAAAAAAGATGTCCTCACGGAAAAATATGCATGAACAGCACGATACAAGATAAAAATTACGCACCTACGTTCGCACGTTGAATTCACGCGCATAAATAAATAATTTCACTATGTGGCGCGTATAAGTACCACAAGTGAGTTGCCGTCCGCCATAGCGGCAAAATTGACGTGACAATTCTGGTGGCGACTTTGGCACCATAACAACGTTTCATGACGTAATTGGTCAATATTTGTTTGCCAATGATTTGTTTTTATTCAGAGCTGTTTGTTTAGAACAGTTTTCAGAGTAGAGCAGGGCGGTGTTTAGAGCACTCTGTGCGGTTGATTTCGCCCCACTCCCCGATGATGGTTTAATTGCCGAAGATGCAGCCTCTCAGTCATTCCCGATACGTCGAATGAAGTCATCATCTCCATTTCTACCCGGCGTGTCCGGTGTAACGGAAGATGCTGTGTCTTAATTTCTGATAGCACTAGGATGTATCTTGCATTGTTTGGGTTGTTGATTTGTCGTATATCAGGTGCTGCGGCTGTCTTGACGTTCATCGGTTTGCTGTAAACCGTGTGCTTTGCATTACGAAAGTAGACGATCCCATGTGAAAATTCGTGAGAACTGACCATGTTGGATCGCGTCAGACGCTGAGTACTACTCTACATGTCGCTCCGCTCTTTTATTAACGGCGCCACCATCACCCGGTTAGAACGTCGTCGAGCCGTCAGTTAATGACCGAAGTAAGGCTATTTACAAAAGGTAGAGTGCTCGTTGTGCATCTACTGACGCACTCGCCCCAGAGCTCCACTAAGTAGGAGCAAAGCTGTCACCGCGACCGGGAAGGGCCGATCCCAGGGAGTCGCTATTGTCAATGACCCGGTCAGACGGGGAGGGAGAGGGGGGAGGGGGGCGAAAGGTGGGCGGGAGGTGGCAACATTGGACACTGCCGCCGCAGCACATACCGCGTGTGCGTACAAGAGGCCCCGGCAGGCCCCGAGAGGCCCTGGCGGCGCCAGCAGCGCCCTGCTGCCAGGGCATCACGCGTTTCAGCCATAACTGACCTCAGCTGGTCACTGGGGACCGTAGCTTACAATGTCGTCTTACAATTGGCGGGATGACCTTTTCATTGGCTTGTATGTCTGAGTCAAAAACAAAAGATGTACGGATATGTATCCTGCATATTCACATGCACGTGTAGATATATATATATATATATATATATATATATATATATATATGTATGTATCAAGTTTTTATATGTAAACGTACGCATACATATACATACATACATTTGTTGGGCTACTTCGCGTGTCATCAATGCATCCGTTAAAATTCGAGTCACTTTCCCAATAGATACAACCCAAGCATCACAGGAGCTTGTGTAAACGGGATGACAAAACATTGCCTATCATGGAAATTTCCGCACGTAGAGCCGATGAAAACAAAGCAAATGTTGTCCAACAGCAATTGCCTTCTTAAGATTGTTGACAAACACATATGCCACACACTCACCAAACCAGCATCGCAACGACAGAGTTCAGTTGACTGACAGTCAGCTGCTCATCGCATGTCTGGAACTCTCCGTCATAACTAACATAGCCATTTTGACAATTATCTAAATATGACATACATGGGGCTGAGAATCGCAGTAAGACTCAAGAGCAGCGCAGTAACCAAAAATGTCAGTTCAAGCAAGAAGATGCCATCACGGACAAACTTGTGGAAACAGCACGAGGCAAGCTCAAAACACACGCACATTACGCTCGTGCGCTGAGTTCACAAGCACAAATCAACAACGCCACCTTGCGGCACGTAGAACTACCACCTGCAAGTCACGTCATCGGCTGCAGTGGCAACTCTGACCTCTGACATCATAAAACCGTCCTGTGACTTAATAAAATCGTGATGTAATGATGACGGCGTAATGACGCAATGATGATCCGATCATGACGTAATGATGATGACATTTAAGGTCTACTAAAGTTGCTACACAAGTCTTTTACATCTCAAACATACCAATAGTTATAAGTGAGCTTTTCCCACCTTGTCTGGTGCATGTCCCAATGTCTTCAAATATGAACCAGTCCCTTTTAATGATGTTTAAGGCAAGTAAAACGATGTCGACTGTTCACGACCAGAGGTGGAGGTGAAATGTGAGATCTAGGTAGTCAAACTGTTTGTTTTTTGGAGTCAAAGGGATGCAAAACTCACCGGTTTCGGAGCACAAAGCTGAAGTTCATTCTACCCTGCCCTGTTTTCAGATGGGCAAACAGCGCTTATTGGTCAGGCCTTGTTTCAGTTCAGTTTAAAGTCAGCGTGAACTCTGTTATTTGGTTTTGCACTAACTATGCAATATCTGCACTACTAGATGTTCAGATTGCATCCGCTACTGATACAACTTGCATGAAGACTTGGGGAGTTCAGGGCGGTTAAACAGCATTCCTTTCGCGCCGAAGATGCGTGAAAGTTTAATCTTTTGGTTGTCCCGCAGGCCGTTTTTCCATAACTTTTTCTTATGTAACCTTTAACTCTCTATTCTTGTATAACTCCGGACGCAAATCGGTTTGAGGAACCAAAAGACGTGATGGACCGTTTCTGAGTGTTTCGGGGAGAGGCATGACCGATACATTCCCTGCTTCCACTACTCCGCAAGTGCGAGTTGAAGTCATACACCCAACATTGCGAGGCTAAACATTTCTTTTCATATGGGGCTGTAGGAAAAAATGTTTTAAGACCTCCATGTTCCTACAACCTTCGCCTCGTGGCGAAGCCAACGGCCTTTGCTCAAGCGCAGCCAAAGATCCGGCAGAAATACTGCCTGTCATCGGACCAGCTGTAACCAGCTTGGTCCCACACAGTTGTAGACACGTCTGACTTACAGTGCGACTCGTCCTTCATTTAGCGCGGCTTTCGCAGTATCGCAGTGCCTGTCATTGCATTAGTATGCCTATCGCATGCGATTATATTGCATTAGCGCAGTGCCTGTCGCTGAAATAGTATGCTTATCGCATACTATTATATGGCATCAGCGCAGAGCCTGTCGCTAAAATAGTATGCTTATCGCATACTATTACATCGCATCAGCGCAATGCCTGTCGTTGAAATAGTATGCATTGAAGCGGAAAACAGCATGCTGAGCCAAGTATCGTGCCTGTTCTTATGTGCTTGCCTGCGGGTATTTTTTCAAAGCCTCACAACATGAACAACTACGTACTTGTCAGAGAATCTCACCCTCAGTAGTCTTTATCCCTTTCAAGAAGCTAACTCATTGATATGTTTGTTGCAGGCTTCGGTCACCTCACCAGTAGCTCAACATGTCCGACGACGAAGAGTACAGGTAAGCAGTCGTCCAATCACTTCGTAATTCATATCAGCATTGTGATTCCGACGTGCGTGCACTGCGCGCGCGTGCGAGCCTTGCCCGCTTGATTTCACTTCATCTTATTGGAAAATGTAAAAGGAAGCTTAACATGCGACCTCACTGACACATAAAAGCAGCAAATGGATTCTATAATTCCAATTATAAGATGGTTTGGTGCTTGTGCAATGTAAAACAATATGGGTTTGAAATTTAATCATGAACGTCCCCTCTACGGTTATAGTGTAAAACCTTAAAACAGTCATTTAATAAGATGTATTTTGGAAAGAGCCTTGGTTACAATCCTTGGCCATAGGATCAAATATAAACTGATGTCTGTAAGTGTAGTATGTAGATGTGAAATTTATATCTACTCCGAGGCCAGCATTGCACGTTGCATAATTCGCTAAAGGGTACCGCTTTAGTCTGATTTCCAAGTATTTCTTCGTTCTAATAGTCACATACTTTGTTTAGATGAGGAGCACATTAGTGCTCATAGGAGCACATTAGTGCTCATCTAGCCACATTCTATTTGAGGTCACCTTGGTTGAAAAGCTGAAAGTCCACTACAGCACGTGCTATTAAATGCCAAAGCCGGCCGTTGCCGTATTTGGGTGACGTCTGCATCCGTCAACGGCGTGCCGTCAGTCGGATCCGGTCACAAACTTTATTGTAACTAAACGCGCAGGCACTTGTGGCTAAGAGCCAACCGCGGTGGCACTGGGCTAATGACGTTCTACGCAGTACGTTCAGATTCAGATTCAGATTTCCACAGGGGGCATAGATATTCAAGGCTGCACACAAGGGGCTAGAAGGTGAGCCCGCTTACACATTGGCAAAATTTACAATAGCTTAATCTCGCCTATAGACTCAAATAAAAACAGGCTTTGTCCAGGCATCTGATTTCTCTTCCGGACAATTCTGAAACCCAAAAATGCCATTTTTCAATAGTTGTCTTCGATGATGAGTGTAACGGACAGGTGCTATATGGAATTTCGTTGCTGGTTGTACACAGCAGCTTAGGTTTCGTGCTCAGCGTAAGAAATATTTTGACGGATGCTGGATTTCCGTTTTCCACTAGCACGTATGAGGAAAACATTTTCTCTCAGAGCGTTTGGATCTGAGTGAACATTTTTGACCGACATGTTTGACGAACTTTCTCACAAACAATCATTCGTACATAAACACGAGTGAAATTTGTAGGAAATAGTTGGCCTGTGCGGCAAGTAGCGGAAACGGCAACGGAAATAGCGTGCGGCAGTGCGGGTTAATGGTGCAATTAAAGATCCCATGCGCCAGGTCCCTTACAAATCGACAAAATTAAAAAAAAACATTTTACTCTGCTGCCTCCAACTGTGACACACCCTCGCCCGAAATATAATTTTCCATTCAGATCATTTTCTAGCTCAGAAATTCCACCTTTCAACATTCTGAGAAACACCTGAAAACCGTCAAATTGCTCTGCCTGCGAGTGCAAGTGTGCGGCCGCGTGCGTCGATGAACACTTGGCATATATGATTGCGCGTTCAACTATATAAGAGCCCAACGTATTGACTAACTGCCATGTTTCTCTTTATGGGCCTCTGGTTTGAAGCACGTAATCCCTTAAAGGCGGCAGAATGCCGGGGGGGGGGGGGGGGAAGTATATGCTTTACAGCGCGGTGTTCAGTGAGGTGCCCTGCACCGTGCCCTGCTGCCCTGTGTTGTGTTGTGTGCGGTGTTCAGTGAGGCGCCCTGTACCGTGCCCTGCTGCCCTGTGTAGTGTTGTGTGCGGTGTTCAGTGAGGCGCCCTGTACCGTGCCCTGCTGCCCTGTGTAGTGTTGTGTGCGGTGTTCAGTGAGGCGCCCTGTACCGTGCCCTGCTGCACTGTGTTGTGTTCTGTGCGGTGCTCAGTGAGGCGCCCTGTACCGTGCCCTGCTGCCCTGTGTAGTGTTGTGTGCGGTGCTCAGTGAGGTGCCCTGTACCGTGCCCTGCTGTCCTGTGTAGTGTTGTGTGCGGTGTTCAGTGAGGCGCCCTGTACCGTGCCCTGCTGTCCTGTGTAGTGTTGTGTGCGGTGCTCAGTGAGGCGCCCTGTACCGTGCCCTGCTGCCGTGTGTAGTGTTGTGTGCGGTGCTCGGTGAGGCGCCCTGTGCCGTGCCCTGATGCCCCGTGTGTAGTGTTGTGTGCGGTGCTCAGTGAGGCGCCCTGTACCGTGCCCTGCTGCCCTGGGTAGTGTTGTGTGCGGTACTCAGTGCGGCGCCCTGTACCGTGCCCTGCTGCCCTGGGTAGTGTTGTGTGCGGTACTCAGTGAGGCGCCCTGTACCGTGCCCTGCTGCCCTGTGTGGTGCCCATTGCGATGCCTTCCCGTCACGCGCGACGCACAGGCCTCCGCGCGGTGCCCTCCGCCGACGGCGCGGTGGCGTCTGGCGCCGCCAGGGCCGGCTATTTCGGGGGTCGGTGGCCGGCCGATCGACGGCGCGGACCGCACATTCCGGCACAGCGAGGCGGCCCCATTCCGGCACTCGCGGCGCCCCGGGGTCAGCGTAAGGGTGCGCCCAGTTCAGCTGGCCGTCTCTGGACGGCCCAGCTCGCCACCGGCGCTAGGCACGCCGACAGCGTGACCGGCATTGGCAGCGACGAAAACAAGACATGAGTCATGAGGGCAGATATCAGGAATACGTTATGTGGTGCTCTTGGGCATGCTTCCTCCTCAGATTTGTGGAGATATGCATTTATTTCACGAGACAGCAATGACAGCAATAGAGACGCATCACATCCGCGCAAATAATAGGTGATATTCTTGTCGTTTGTTGGAGGCGAGCCTCCTGAGCGCCCTCTCATTCCTCCTCTGCGAGATCCGCTCCATAAGATCCTCAATCGAAAGGCGATCGAGGTCTAGCTCGTAGCGACTTCCCTGCCACTGCCGGCTGATCGTGGAAGGTGAGCAGCCAGGGCCGTTCCCACTCTGTGTCTGCATACCGGTTTTCTCGCTGCGAATAGGTGAACAGCCAGACTCGCGGTAGCTCTGCACGTGCATCGCGGTTTCTGACTCTGGATTGTGTTCTTAATGGTGACCGCTCGACTAGTGATGATCCACGAGAAACGGCTGCATGGAACCGTGTTCCCAAAAGAACTAAACTCTGATCCTTCTTTGAGGCGTTCTTGAAGCGACCAGCGAACTCGCGAGGCTTCCAATAACTGTCTTTCCTCTAAATTGCCTCGTTTAGGAACAGGGCACATTTAACCAGATCAACTACCGCATCGCAATCACGTAGCGCTTCAGGCCTTCGACCAGCAGTGCCCCATCGCAGCTGGCCACGCGAAATTTGACGTGCGGTAACGCCAGCAGGATTGCATCATCGTATCAAATCTAAGCGAGATCAGACCGACGGGTTCCCGTTAACGCGTGCAGACGTGCTCCGATCGGCTTAACAAGAGAAGCGCGAAATTCGCAACTTGACATAATTTGCCAAAAGCGTGACGAAAGCGAGTACGTTGCCCGGGGAACAGAAGGTCGCACGAATGGAATCAACACCTTTAGACGCGGAAAAGAACGCGCAATCATATATGCCAAGTGCTCATCGATGCACGCGGCCGCACACTTGCACTCGCAGGCAAAGCAATTTGACGGTTTTCAGGTGTTTCTCAGAATGTTGAAAGGTGGAATTTCTGAGCCAGAAAATGATCTGAATGGAAAATTATATTTCGGACGAGGGTGCGTCACAATTGGAGGCAGCAGAGTAAAATGTTTTTTGTTTATTTTGTCGATTTGTAAGGGACCTGGCGCATGGGATCTTTAATTGCACCATTAACCCGCACTGCCGCTCACGCAATCTGAATCTGAATGTATCGCGTAGACAGCATTGCCCCTCATTCGAATCTGCAGTAGTTCTTAGCCATGACCGCTGTCCCGTGTAGTTGTAAGAGCCCAACAGCATTGGAAATTGTTTTGGTGAACGCTGAAACTGCAGCCAATCCGATGGTATTTGAGGCACGCCAACGTGAACGGATTTCTGAAACCTTGTGTGAAGGTGACGACTAAGACGAAGACTTCGTCGATACGAATATAGTATGCACCGCGTGTTGCAGAAAGAAACCTATCAGATGACTGCTGTAAAAGTCACAGTTGTCAAAAATGTCCATGAAACATCTAGCACAAACGCGTACTTTTCCGTGAATATAACTGACAACACCACTGCTCGAGCTCCAAACGAGCCCTACCATAAGCCGGCCTCGGCCTGTAAATCAAGGGCCGTCAAATAACATACACACATCATCCGACATGAGCCGTGTCACCAAACAAGAGAGCCCATTAGATACAATCCACGGGTTTTCCGTGCGGCTCTGTCCTTAATTCGTAAATGGCTGAGGGGAGGCACCGCCCCTCCCTCCCTCCCTTTCAGTCTGCGTTGTGAAGACGTCGAATCAGGACGAAGCTTAAGCTGTCTTATCAAAATATGTAGCTAACCCGGATCATTACGGTCGGGTGTTTGGTTCAGGGCTTACTCAACAGTCACTGCTTGGTGTGGACGCTGGTCCAGTAACGGGTGCTGTCGCGTTGTGTGTTGTGTGTTGTGTGTGTGTCGTGTTACGGGTGTTGATCGAAGAATTCGAAATAAGTGTCAATAACCACCCCATAGCGCAAGTTTCCAAACGCTGCCCCATTCGGAGGTTATTTTGGAAAAAACCTTCGAAGAGGTCAAAGTGACTCCCACCCCCACCCGAACGCGTGTCGCTGTTCGACAAGCCTATCGCTGCCCGACCTGGATTTCGTCACCGTTCAAGGCCAGTCGGCCCGCTGCCCCATGCAGAGCCAGTCCTCTGCCTCTGTTATAGCGCACATATTGTCGACCTGGATCGCGTCCCGGTTCGTATGCCTGCTCTGAACCGCACCGTCGCCAACAGGACCTTACCTGCACAGCTCCGAGGACGAGGTCGGCGAGGTAGGCTCTCGGAGGCATGCTGTTCACAGCTCCGGTGCCGAGCGCGCGTCCTGGCCTCTAACAGACCGACAGCGCCCGTGGCCCGCCGGACCCCCGGCTCTGCCGGTGGCCGCCTCCGTGGCAGCCCAGAGCGCCGCCGCCGCCTGACAAATCGCCTCACGCTGTGCCGCCTCACACACATGTTGTCAGCACAGCCCACCTCTGCTAACCCGCCCGTTCGTGCGTCCTGGGGCAGGTCAGCCGTCGGAAGCCGCTTCGGGTGTGCAGCGTGCGCGTTCTCCAGGCCTCGACGACGACTGTTGACAGTGTCGGGAGGCTGAAACGCAGCTGCGCTGATGCTCTATCGCAAGGGCGCGCCGGTGGGTGTCGACGCCATGCGATGCCTCTCGTCTACTGACAGCTACCATGTGGAACTAACCGGACCTCTCGTCCTGCCCTGCAGCTCGGAGGAGGAGGAGGAGGAGGATGACGGACAGGTGAGGGCGCCGGCCATCCGCCGCCACCGGCTGCACGTGACTTGCGCTTACCGTAGCGCCAGGGTGGCCACACACTGAACCAACGCAAACCAGCGCCCCTAAAACGGGCACCCGCCCACCGTCAAACGCCCCGCGTCATGCGAGCTTAATGGTAGCTGCTGCTTAATTTTGCGAACGTCGGGTATTGTGATTGGAGCAGCTCCGGTTCAATCATTCACCGCTGGCTGGCGGTTCAGTGCGTGGAATCCTTACCGATTCTCAGACGTCCCGCCGTCTGTCCTAGCGCCACCGGTTGGCCTGCTATAGCGACGACGTAGACCGTGCGCCCGGTCTAGCCCTACGTGCGGCGGCAAGGGCCGCTCAACCGAGTCATGTCAGAACTAGCCAGTCATCGCCAACCAGCAGCTGTAGCAATGACGTAGTGCCACAAGTTGTGTTGGACGGCCAATGATCGCATTGGGCTCGGCTTTCTCTCCGCACGGCGTGGGTGCGTTAGTGTGATGTGCGCGTACGGTCTGAGGTAGAGCAGAGGTGGGAGAGTGTGCGTGCCGTCTCACCAGCCCGCCTTGTGACATTTCAGGCCCAGAAGGCAGCTGAGGCACGTAGACGTGTGATGGCAGTAAGTGTGGCGTGTCGTTTTACTAACATCTGCCGCAAGCATACTGGATGTTAAAGCGGGTCCACTTATCTGAATCATGTTTCGCGTAAGCTGTTTCTATTTGCAGACCATTTTCTCCGAAAGCTGTTTCAAACTCTAAACAATATCTCGTATATTGTGCAAAGAACTGATCTCCATTGGTGTGGAAGAAGAATGAACCTAATTGGTAATGTCACATGTCAGCGAAAAAGGTACGCAGAGTTGACGGTTCAATCCAAGCGTTTCCTAAGAGTATTTCTATAACTTGATTTCGTTGTGCCTTGATATAACACATAGCGCTGGTTAGTGGCAGCGTGCAGTTTGGGCTTTGGGGATCGTGATCCAATTCTTATCAACATCGGAGTAAGAGGCGCCTGTGTATCGCAGGTATATCGTGTAAAAACCGTTTACTGCTTCTGTAAGGTGTTCATGGATTGAACACGGTGAAAAGTCACGTCCACCCAAATGCATAGAAAGCCGCGGAATCTTTCTTCTCGTCCACGTGGCCTTGTTGCCAGTCTCAATACTCTCTCTTAAGGATCAATAAACTTTGCTAGGTTTTGGCCTTAACGATAAGGACGGGTACCAGCACTTCCAACTGTATTCAGAACCGCATTGCGATCACTAATTTGTCCAGCAAATCAAATTGGTTCAAATCCCTAACTTTTTAAATCCGAGCCAATATTGTATTCTTGTGAAATCTACATCGAATCAACTTTGATCACCTTCAATCTATGAGTGCTGCCAGGGATCGAAAGAAGGACGGCTTTAATGTCTGATAAAAACGAATGACAAGATAAGTCCCAACACTTCTTGCAATTGGTGAGAGCCTAGTTGCATCCAGTGGCGACACACCATATGGCCCAATGCATAAATGCAAAAGCTTAGAAAGATGTATTGCAGGTTGTAAGCCATTTCAGAAAGAGGAACAGCCGCGGCTTTCAAGCACATTGTTGACGTGCTGAATGCTGTAATCCCATAAACTTACAAATAATGGAGTGGTAATGGGCTCCTTTACAGCTGAGCCATTAGATTTCACCAGTTTCTGAAGTTCGAGGCGTTGCAATGTGTTCTGGCTTTGGTTTGTTCACTTTGATTCGCGTCGTGCTGATTTCAGCCATTATTCAGACCCTAGTTTGCTTCATTCACAATCAGAGTCGGCTCCAGTCGTGTCAATTTCACTAAATCACAGCAAGTTGAATCACTTTTCTAAAAGTGAGTGTGATTCGAGTTATGATTCAGCGCTCAAATATTTTGAGTCATGATCTACTCGAATCTATTAAGCTGTTGAAGCGTAAGAATTGGTTCCTGAGGCATCCACTAAGCGAGCTTTCGAAAATTTTCTAGTCATCGGACCCGAGTCCAGGTATGAGGCAGACATGCATCCTGCGGCTATCAAACTACTAACCTGAGTGGCGCTGGTATACGCCACCTACGTATGTGTGGCACGTCATCACATGTCTCCCATGGCTATCTTCACATCATTAGTTTCAGCCCGCGTGACACTTTAAAAACGGTATGTTTAGCATCTAGTGTTTTACCATAGTTATGTAGTCTAGCAGTCAGGCATGCAATGCATACGGAGTTTCAGAACGTTCACAAATGACCTCCCTGCCAACAGTTTTTCGCCCTGCCCTGATGGTCCAACTGAAAGTGTCACAATGCTAAAAAAGATCCGACCTGCTCGATATGTTTTATGCCGTATAAGGCTTGCGTACACAATTGGCCCACGTGTGCATGAAAGTGTGAGTCGCTGGGATCCATTACAGCACGAAAGGGAGGCACTAGATCACTCTGCAATCCATGGGCCAAGAGTCAAAGGTGCAACGATTTAGCAGAACCGTTTCAGCTCTCTGACTGCGTGCATTTAAACGATGCACGCGCTCTGTTGCCTTGTACATGGCTGCTATTGGAGTGCTTCCACGTCTCCCTTGCTTTCATGTGTAGCGTGAGGTGTGAGTAGAGTTGGCATGTTAGAAGCAGCAACAGTTTGTTGCTGCTTGCCAGCGTTAGTTCAAACTTAAAAGCGCTGGGTGACTAACAGTGGATTGCGTGCCCAGATGTGTGCTGGTGTCTTGACTAACAACCATGGGCACTGATCTGTGCCACTGTCCACCATAGGCACGTAGGCTTCGGCGGGAACGTTTCCCTGGACAAACTGTACACTGTGTTGTCAGCGCATTGCCCACAGGCACACGCTTTGAGTACACATAACATTTTCATACTGGGCTGTCACAGCTTCGGTTTTCAACACAACTTTTAACGAATAAAACAGTTAAGACAGTTGAAGCTGTCCACCATCAACATTAGGCCTCAAGAGAGCGTTACCCTGGAGAAATTCTTCACCGTGTTTAAAAAAAAAACGTACACAAGGACACCTATGCAATATCTATACCATTTGCGTACGTGGCCTTAGCAGCTTAAGAACACATAAAATGCTACATAAAATTTTGCAATGGGTCTCTTTCGGACATTGCGAGCAGATCTCCTATGCTGTTCATTGTTTTTTGTTTGCAGGGCATCAAATGATGCATTTGAAATGGGAATTCTGTTCAAACTCATCCTTTTCTTTTGCGTTGTATTCGTTTCGAACATCTACTCATTCAGCGTTCTCATTAGCTACCGATACGCCACATTCATTCATCTATTTTAGTTTATTGCATTCCAACTTGGCAAGCTGCTCATTTGTTCCAAAGCACCTTACGATTGGGCGTGGAGCAAAGCCGACCAGTTTCTTTAAACGCCCTCGAAACAAGCCATTCAATCTAGCTAACAACGACACGAAAGCTGTGCTGACGTAGCTTACTGGAATCATAGGCGGAGAAACAGAAAAGAGCCGAGGTGGACAGGAAGAAGGCTGAAGTCAGGAAACGCCTGGAGGAGACGTCCGCTGCCAAGAAGGCCAAGAAAGGTTTCATGACACCAGAAAGGAAGAAGAAACTCAGGGTAGGCATCTCCCTCTGCATTGGCAGCATTCGCCTTGTTCTCACACGGTCATTATATCTCACTTATCACGGTGCAGGGTAATGTGTGTGGCGCCCATTTGAAGTCAGCCACAGGATGTGTGGCAGACCACTCTGTCAGGGAACGCACACTCTGTCTGACACCCGCACACGGTCAAACACACACACACACACACACACACACACACACACACACACACACACACACACACACACACACACACACACACACACACACACACACACACACACACACACACACACACACACACACACACACACACACACACACACACACACACACACACACACACACGCACACATACGTACACGAACACCCGCACGCACACCCAACCACTCACGCGCACACAATCGCACACCACACACACTCACACGCACGAACACACACGCACACACCCAAACGAACACTACACGCACACCACACGCACAAACCCACACGCACACTACACGCACACCACACGCGCACACACACACACACGCACATACACACACAAACACACTCGTTAAATTATTGCCATCCATGCACATGCAAGGCTGTGCTTTGTAGTATTACACGCTTACATTGCATGCGGTTGGTTCATATAGCCAGGATCGTCTTGACGTGGACAGTCCGACGAATTAGTATGTGATCGTCATTGCAGTGGTGGTGGAGGTTGGCTTCGACCGAATCTCCGAATGAATGTACTTGGCCACAGTGAGTAAGCACACAAAACGACTGTTGTAATGCACTTGTGTGAAATACGCTATGGCATGGGCTTTACTCCCGTTCATTATTCTTAGCTACTACTGCGGAAAAAGGCCGCCGAAGAGCTGAAGAAGGAACAGGAAGTTAAGGCCGAGGAGAGAAGGCGAATAATTATTGAACGATGCGGTCAGCGGAAGAACACAGATGACGCCAGTGAAGGTAAAAGTCCGTCAGTTGTGCGCCTGAACAGCTGCAAATGAATATGTATTTTACTGACAATGCCAGTATATCATAAAGTTCACGTGCAAAACCTTGTATTTTTTAACTGATTTCCTAGTGAAGCATGCTACTATTCAGTTTCACGGGGGGGGAGGCTGTTCTTGATGTTATGCAGTGGAGTCCGTTTTGCATCGCAGGTCCACTGCCGGTTGGTCTCGTCCTTCACATGGTCCCAATATTGCTGCGTGTAAAAGGAACTCTATGTTGGAAAGTGTTGCCATATATTCTTTTCTGCGTGCATCTGCGGTCAGAAATCTCACCTCGGGGCTGAAGCATACCTATATTGTCGTATGCAAACCAAACTCATACTAAATTAGAAGGTCAATGGGACAGCATGTGACAATGTATGGAACCCAACAGCATTACACTAAAGATTAAACGAGTCGGCTCAGATGTCCCCTCAGATAAGCTATTTTTCCTATGTTTGGTCTTGATCCATCGGCTACGGGCTTACATTTCCCAGTTTCAAGCCGCCCAAACCTTAGGTACGTATACGATTTGTAAAAAACGACGCTGTTTTTAAAATAGTAAAATGATTTGCCTAATTTTCACGTGTCTGGGATGAAAACGTCTCGCCTTGTTGGTGATGAGCTCAGAGGGTGCCAGTGGTCTATTCCACCATGTATTGACAGGGGCATGACAGCCCTATACTTCGGATGTTAAATTACTTAAGCAATTCTGGGACTATAAATTCTCTAAGTTTGTGTGTACAATTCGTCAGAGAAATCAGAGCCACGGTCATAGAGCTGTAGCCTCGGCATTTCTAAAATGTCACCAAACAAGGGGTCTCTAGGGGCTTGCAAAATGATTAAGAAATTAAAGTTTTTGGCGCGCAGCTTTGCGTAGCTGAACCTACAACGACCCACCCCATTTGTTATTGCAATATTTGTAACCAGATGCATTTGGAGATTGTTTGCTACGATCTAATGTCACACGCCTACTTTCAAGCTCCGGGACGCTTCAACAATATGTTCAAAAATGCAAAAATCAGGAGGCAACCTGTCCGTGAGAAAATAACGAATGGTTTGCTTTTAATGCTACTGATTTTCTTTGTACGTTCGCGATGCAATACCAATTCCACTTTTAATGCTGCCGATTAAATGCTACCTATGAACTGAAAGTTAATGAAGAAGATTATGACCTACAACTCGCTGGTAAATGTTAACATTAAGACAACTAAACGTTTCAGAACAAGCACTTACCTGATGTGTCTGCAAAGATCCTGCTTAGCGAGTGCTCGTTTAAAAGGAAGTGTCCCGGTGGCACAAGATCAAGTCTGGTGCTGGCCGGCTATTTTTCCAATCAACAGTTCTTTCGCTTTTGGTAATTCATATTGCAATGGATGTGATATGTCATAAGAAATGGAACAAGAAGTTGCGCACCTCAGCTTTCAACAGTGCATTGTGTTTACATGACTGTATTTAGAGGCAGATTGGGAGAATGTTAGCCTTTGCCCGATGGAGCGCTTTTTACGCCCTCACCCAACGAGGGCGGTGGGTGAGCTGACAGCCACCCCGCCCCGCCCGACAAGGGAGGAGGGGTGACAGTCCCCCCTCCGCCCCGCCCGACGAAAAGGGGTCTGACAGTCACCCCGTCCACTGACTTTTGAACTAAGACCGGTAAAGAATCGAAATAGAAGCCAGCGTACTGTTTGTTGTCTAAGCCCTCTCGTCTTTTTGTTTTCGTTTTCACCATATCGTTTTTTGTTCTTTGTCAACAAGGGACCTTCAGGGCCATCATAATAATCAGGAAAGGATCGTGTCGACGATGAGCCCACATGTTCTCGCCCACATAATTTTCAACCTTTGAAAGAATAAAAAAGAAGTTATGTAGGCATCAGTGCACTTCTTGGTTTGTTTCAATCCTGGAAATGGCCGTATTTTTGTCTGCTTTTTATTATTTAACTTTACTGCACTCAGAAAGACACGATAACAGTGACACGGTAGACCTAACCCCCATATGACAAGACATGATGTACTCATTATAACATTGTGGGAATAGATGTTGCTCAGCCATTTACTTTCTTCACTGAGAAGTGCCCCCCCAAATTGCAACGTATTTACATACCTTGCGTGCTACATTTTTGTGACGCTGCCCATGCTTTGCATGGGGCTACAGCATGGCAAAATTCCATCTCATTCCCACATGAATGCCTCAGATTTACAGCATCAAAAGCATGATCAACATGCTTGTTACACAACACTGCAGTTTTACTGCCATGAGAGTGTGGTTAGCACCATAATACGTCACACTAAACTTTGATCCACGGTTGTGAAAGAAACATAGTCTTTCTGGGGTGCTCTTTAATTCAGTCAGTCCAATAGCAGTGAGAGTCACACGACCCTATTTTAATTTTCCAGATATCTTCATATCGGAACTAAGTGGGGCCCACATATTTAGCACACGAATCCGATGTCTCATGGTCGTACAAAACACTTGTTTTAAAAACAGCTCACGCTGAGATTAGACGCCGCTGGTTTTACTAATGCGCTTCCATCAACCCTGCCGTATGGGTGTAACTGCAAACCTTGCGCAGAGGGGGAGGGGGGGGGGGAGCGAGGACATGTTCCTTCCTAGTTGGCCTGCTGATTTATGGGGGAGAAAACGTCGTCGAAAACAAAATGGTCGGCATGCGGCACTTACCTCTGCATCGCCAAGTCTCTTTTTAGGATGAACGTTTGAACGAATCAGAAATCACTTAAAGCACAAGGTTTCACGGCAGGTTGAAAATGTTTATATTGTCATATAAAGCGATTCTCGCACACATTCAAGCTAATGATCTCCGTTTACCGCAAAACGGGGCAATATCAGCCTCGCATGCCGAAAATGAAGCGATCATTACGAGAATAATGCAAAGTTTATGCGCTTTGCTTTTGCTCAATGAGTGATATTGTTCTCCATGTTAACATTTTAAACTTAACATCCTTTGCCAACTTGAAAAATCTCACGTCATGTTAGGCCATAGGGTCATTACTTTAAAATGAGCATCAAAAAACATTTTGAAATAACCAACAGATGCTGAGAACCATTGCGATCTGATGGACATAAAATTTTGCACCACTCGAGTAACTCGTGGTGGTTTCCCCCAAGAGGCATTCCGGCTTGGTGGGGTTTCAAACATGCCTGAGACAAGCCCTTTCACCGCTTATTTAATCATTTTTGAAAACAATCACAGTGATATCAGCCATAGCATGATGGTAATAATGACAGTGAAGTCATGACATGAAATTATTCATGGGATGAGAGGATTCCATATTATGATCCTAAATCGAACATGACGCAAAGGATATTGTCTCGGCTCTCTCGGTTGTAGATTTGTCGTAGAGCATCCCTCCTGTAAAAAGAACTTTGATATGGACATCCGCCTCTAGCATAGAAAACATAAAGATAGTTAATAGATGTAGACAATTATCGCCAATTTTTACCGATAGCGTATTCAATATAGCACATCTGTTGATGAACATCGCTGTGACTGTGCTTCACTGGTAGAGTGAGACCCAGTAATCTAGTCAAATTAGTCCGCCGCATCTAGCTCATCGTAGTTTCTGATCGTCTAGCTCAGCGTAGTAAGTGAGCTAGATGGGGCCATCTAGATGTGGCCATCATCTACAGCCATGGAAAACCAGCTGCCGGCCTGATTGCCGTTAACGGAGCATCACGGCGCTGGCCTGAAGCCCAGCGGCTCTGTGGTTGTTTGCAGTCTTTAAAAGTCGAAGAGCTGGCTTTTCGAGAGAGTTTAATCGTCATTTACATTCCCTTACATCAGCTGGTTTTCTGGTCGTGCTTTTGCCTGCTAGATGATCGCTGGTTATTGTTGTTGTTGATAGTAGTTGTGCATGCCCCATTTCTAGCCGAGGTTACCCAGCTGTACCAAGTGTACCGGACATGGATTGAAAGGCTAGAGGATCAGAGGCGGAGAAAGATCACCAGGTCGGTAGCTGACTAATCCCTGTTGCTGCTCGACGTGACTTTAACACTCTGCTTGCCAAATCATGCTGTCTACATGACGCCGGCAAGAACCTCTTATGTTCCTGTCTACACAGCTGAATAATGCCGTGTATGTCCAAATTCAATCGGTCGTGTTCTTCACCTAGCAGTGTCCCCCGCCTCCCTGCCTCTGTTAACGGCAGTGTGCCTTCGAGAATATTCACAGCTCTTTCCTATTACGCTGCTGCTTAACCGCGTGTTTGTGAAATGCGCCATTAACGAGATGTGTTTGCGTTTCTAAAACGTGGCGCTGTGTAATATGATTAATAATCGTTAGCTGTGCCTTGCTATTCTTTCGCCACAGTGAAGCTTCAAGCGTTTTGCAAAGAGTATCATGCGCACGTTTTGCAGTCGTGATGCACTCAGCACGATTGGGTCAAAACTGCTAGAAAGCTGCTGTAAAGCTGCTGTTATGAAACAACGGTATCCTGAGGTGTCCACCCAAAAATGTCTGCGGATGCTTGGCAACGGGCCAAGAACGCTCGTGCAAATGTTCCGCTGCCAGTCACAGTGCCATTCACAAGTGTTGTCTTTTGTAGAGGACCTCATCGCCATATGCAAGGATTACCATGACCGTGTCTACTTGTGCGAGTCGCAAAAGTGGGACTTGGAGCACGAAGTCCTTCGCCTCGGCGTGGAGGTTAGTGAACCCGGAGTCCTGGGGCGCGGGCATCCTGCTTGGTGAGGCCTGCGCTCCGACCATGGCTTGTGCGGCTCTGTTGCCGGTGGCCCGTACGCGTATGCCAGGTGCAATATGGCAGCTATCCGCGCAGCGTTTGCCAGCTCCGCTGTCTGCCCGGGCTTTTAAAACGCCACTCGCAGGGCCCTGTCGAGACTCAGCCCAGAGCTGCCCCGCGCCCTTGACAGTCGGCGGCCGGCGGCGGGGGCCACAGACTGGACCCGCCGGCTGCCCCAGCCCGTCACAGCGCTGCTAGTGTGAGAGCGTTGCAGCGCGCCGCCCGCCGGCGCCGGCAGACGCTCAACCGGAGACCCCCGTGAGGGAGGTGTGGCCGGCCAGGACTTGACGCCTTCCGTCTGCCGGTGCCGGTGGGGTCGGCGAAACTCGCCGTCCGCGCCGAGCGGTCGGCGACTCCAGCCTCTCCCCAACCCGTACCCGCCTCCCACATGCGTGCAGTTGTCTGGCGCTCGCATACAGAGCTCTAGACGGCTCGGACGCCGGCACGCAATGACTAGGGGCCGAATTAGTCCGAGCGGGGCAGAGCTCTGCGTGATGAGAGGAACCCGGCCACCCCATCTGTGAGTAGTGGGGGAGGGGCTGGGGCGTGGTCTGTTGCGGGAGTGGCCTCAAGCAGCTAGCCAGCCCCGAGGCACGCTTTCGCCATGATGTCACCGGACCCTTGTCTGACGCTTGGCGCCTGACGCCTTTGGCAGCCGCCGTGGCAGCAAGTGTTTTGAAATAGCTTTGCGACGCGGGCGGCCACGGCGCCGTGGGGGCGGCTCGCCGGAAGAAGGGCGGTGCAGCCGCGGTGCTCCTGTCACACACGGAATAATGTTAAATAGGATGTTTGCTGAGGCCGCTCAACTTCATCTGATAGTAAGCCATTCGAAAAGCCAGTCGCATTGTGATGCCTTTCAGATTTATACAATGAAATCGCTCATAAGGTGTTGACTTCAACCAGCCAACGGCACATCCATATTTTGTAGCAGAAGATATTGGTGTGGCTGGCAATGTTGAAAATGGTCTGTCAGTCCAAATTGTTAGCGGTACGCAAAGAAATACGTGTTGTGCACAGTAAAGTTGTTGAGACTTCAATAAAGCTTACTGTTCGTCCTTGCGTGATCAAGTTTCCGATGGTGTGGTCTCCGTTCGGTCATAATCTGAAGGCACGGCGTCTTATTATTATGTAGCAACGTATCGAAATAAAATATCAATACTGCTCTCAGTAATAGCACTTCTGCAAGATTTCGATTTCTCTGTGGAAACTGGCTTAGGGTCATAGTCCTTGTAAGTGAACTTTCACTGTGAAGCGCCATCAATTTGGGATTTTCTTGACCTGTCTGTTAACGGGGCTCTCCGACCCTGTGCACTAAATGTTCTTGTCTTTCAGATCAACGAGCTCAACATCTCCGTCAACGACCTTCGCGGCAAATTGTGAGTGCTTTTATATGCGTGGTAAGCGCTGTATCCCCTTCCTCATTTCGTTATGAGGCTCGTTTAAAGGGACTCGCTCATTGATTTTTTCTTCGCGTCGCTTTTAATTTGCCTCAACCAGATTCCCATACCTCATCATATTTCCCTTGGATGGGAAGGCTCGTGGAATGAAAGCAGTGTTAGCGTTTTCTAACAACATGCATTATTTATTTTTAGTATCAAGCCAACCCTGAAGAAGGTGTCGAAATACGAAAACAAATTCGCCAAGCTGCAGAAGAAGGCGGCTGAATTCAATTTCAGAAACCAGCTGAAACAGGTCAAGAAGAAGGAATTCACACTCGAGGACGAAGAGAAAGACGTAAGGACAGTTGCTGCAGCGCCGCCCTCCTCCGTTTATAACTAACACAACTTCGTTTACAAATAGTTACAGTTGTTGCCACATAGGCTACGGTGGCTGCAAGAATAATTCTCTAGAAATGGCAAAATGCTGGTTTGACAGCGTTGAAACGATTGTGAGCGCTTTTGTTTCAACCAGCGCCCGGCCGGGGGAGTTGTCTCCCCCGATGGTTTTTTCGAGCACAGGTCAAGAACGTACGCTTGTAGCAACACGAAATTTTCAGTGCCTGTTTATTTATCAAGTTAACATCATTTGTGCAAATCTGAAGCCTTGATTTACCAAGGCCAGTAACCAAAGTCAGCTTAAAGGGGTCAACTCTGAAAAACTTAAATGTCATTTTTTGGGTCATTTGTCATTGTTTAAACTTGCCACAGTAATAGAACATAATACTGCATACAGCTTATATCTTTCATATCTTTCGAAACAAGCGAGTTCAGCGACCTGAAGTAAGGCCAGCTTTTTTATCATTCCTGAGATCATGCAAATTTGTACCTATTTTTTATAGTTTTGGTATTTGTATATACGGAACAGGGTACTAACTGACATACACAACCATAATTTGACCACAGAGCACATGACCTTGGCCCAGGTCATGACCTTCCTCAATGGGCGCCTTTTACAAACTACATGCTTAGCTTGAAATATGCAGTTTTATTCCTTGGGCGCCAAATTCGAATACTCTAGTGAAAACGTGTTTTGATCTAATTCTTATTCATAATGAGTTGACAGTAGGTTACGTGAAAACATGCAAGGTCATTTTAGGTCATCCAAGTCATGTTTTCAGTAGCGGGGAGGCTAGTTAAACGAGTGCGACGCGTATAATCACCTCCTTATCGTGATTATGAAGCTAATGACGTATCATTTTATGCACATACGTGCCTACCCTCGGTCTGTTACAGATTGCCTAGCATTGAAGGTACTATGTGTAATGTTTGCAACAGCTGCGCAGTCCTGAGTACCTGTACATATACATCGCACTATTTCTGACCACAGAAAGTGTTGCACCGGTCACATAGACCAAGTTAGCGCTTCAGTTTATTCATTTGGATGTTTCATAAACTTGGCCTAAGTTGACATCATTTGGCTTCTTCGTCAACTCAAAATGAAATTTTGTGTCTCAAACGCTTTTTTCCAAGACCTGCACCTGATAAACCAACTTAGTCAAAACACGTGAAAAAGCATCGTTTATTATAGGCTACTGGCTTACCGATTTTGAACGGTGACCAGATTTGACCTGACCCTTGGAGAAATAGAAACGGTTGGAATGGACTCTGCACGGTCTCAATGCTTATTTACATGCTCTTAATATCTTGATGAGTTAACATAGGCTTTAATTGCATCTATTAGAACGGCCGTCTTTTGCCTTTCATGACCCCTGGTGACTTCCCAATTGACCTAAGACCTAAAATCTCGTGTGCATTCTTCATAATTTCACGAGACCTCCACAAACACATTTTGTTTTTCCCATACGGCGTTTGGAAACTGGATATCTCATGGGGAAGTCAACTCCAACCCCCTCCCCCCCCGGCGGGCGACGCTCCGACTGGGCGCAGGTTTAAGATCCACTCACTTTGAGACATTCCGCACAGCCAGCATTCGGCCAGGCTTCCAAATCTTTTTTTTAAGTAGCGGCCCTGGCCGGTCGCTGATTGGTCTAGATTGCATCCAAGATGTGTCATCAGTCACAGTTGGTGGAACGTTTCCCGCGATAGATATGATGTAAACGGTGCTAGTCATCCCTATCTTTTAACGAGCAAATTTTTAAAAACTATGCTAGATGCCATTGTCAGTCCCATCTCTCAAAACGAGTAACATTTGCTATATACATCCACTTCCTATATGACATGCCGCTGCATGCTTTTACGGCGCTCAAGCGTAAGTTGTCACAGTTCTGGGCATGTCGGTTTGGACAAGACGTTGCTTGTACCAAACTAGGAGAAGACCATGTTCTGATATTTCTTACGGGAGCAGGACCCTTTTTGGTTTCTTGTTTTGTAACACTGTAAATGGTCGCAATTATGCATGCGGCCATTTACATAATGGGTGCGCGAGTAAATGCATTTATTTATTCTGACCATCACGTAATAAGCCTCGCCAATTTAGCGTTTCATGGCCGCCTTCTCCGCCACACATCACCTCATACCCTGAGCTTGATGTTTTGCTAAATGTATAGAATTAATTTCTATCCGTCCGACTTATCAGACCTGCTATTTTTATCAGGGAATATTAAAAAAGTGGCTGGCATTTCAGTAGATACAGGCCCAAAGCCTACCAGGGTCCGAGGATCAAACTATTTTCGAGTTTTGTAATGACATCAATACCGTATTATATTTCGTCCACTCCACCTATAAAACACATGTCGAGTCTGCGTACCCTCCCAACTCGCATGGCGACAGTCGTGGCGTGTCGCTCGTGTACACGGATGCCGACAGCTCCCGCAGGAGCCATAGCCAGCGTCTGCGAACAGTTAACACCGGACAGCGACTGTAAATAGCAGCTGTGCACGCAGCTCTCCGGCGGGCGTCGCGCTGGCGGGCTTGTGGGGCGCGCCCTGCCGACCGTGACGCCCGGCCCGGCGCGTCGGTCAGGAATAGCCACTGGCCATCGGCCAGCGACGTCGCGACCGCCGCCGGCGCTGGTGTCACGCTACGCCGGTGAACACCAGCCCGCTGTCAGGTCAAGGAGAAGGCGGTGTGGCGGCAGAAGGAGCCGTGCTCGCACCCCGTCCTCTGTCCGCTGTCCACGTCCCCGAGGCCGCCGCCCGTGGTGGGGGGTAGCGCCGGCGAGGCGGCGCTCCTGTGGCACGTCCGGGCCTTCTCGGCCGGTGAGGAACGCCGCCGCCGCCGCCGCCTTGTCCCTGCTTGGGTCACTGCACGATGAGTCGGGTCGCGCCCAGAGCCGCTTTTGATCATAAGTCACGGCTTGATTTTGCAGGGGACCGCAGTTTCCCGGGATGCACTGAGGCTAAGGCAAAGCAGATCAGTGTTGAAAGGTCTGCAGATGACCGGAGATGAACGCAGGACATGGTGGCTAGTCCTGTTGCAACGCGGAGCATGTAACATGTGGCGTATCATGAAGTAAAATACCACGACGTGACTTATTGGCACGCATATCTGACCGTCATTTATCTGTATACTTACTGATAACGAGATCAAAATGCCGTTGATTGATGCTTACTGATAACAAGATCAAAATGCCGTTGATTGATACTTACTGATGACGAGAGCAAAATGCCGTTAATTGATACTGATGACGAGATCAAAATGCCGTTGATTTGTGTATCTTGTAGACTGATACATGCACTTCCATTGCAACGTGGTAAATTTTGAGGTAACAAATAGCGATACGGTGCAAGAATTGTCTTTGCCCCCAGAGAACAAGTGCCTTTGTTACCTTTGTCTCTGCATGCACGCGTTCAAAGGCAACCGTCGAAGCTCTCGACCAATGACAGGTAACGGCGCGGAGGATGGCCATCGTTGTAAAATCAGGCGCGTGCTGAAAACAACGTTTGTGTATAATAGCGTGACTCCTTTCAAAACCAGCCAAGGTCACAGACCGCTGTTGACCACTGCTGACCCCGGCTGACTTTTGTAGATTGCGCCATGTCAGAGGTAATTAAGAGTGCTGTTTCTAAGTTTTAAGAGCGTTTCATAGGTATTTAGGTGCAACTGTCACATCTACTACCTTTCCTTTCGAAGGCTTTTATGTTATTCAGGCCCCAGGCACCTGCCACCTGCCGCATGCAAGAGTGGGGAGAGTGTAAATATAAATAGATGGGTAATATATACTTCAATGATCGACTACCAAATCGCAAGCCTACAAAGACTAAAACACACATGTTTGACACCTGAAAGGTTCGTGTTACTGGTTCTGTCCTATCATGCGAAACTCAATGAACAGCATGATATTATATATATATATATATATATATATATATATATATATATATATATATATATATATATAGGCGTCCGCAACCTGGTAGTCCTTTCAGGTCCATATACCAGTTACATAGGTTACATCCGTCTTTATTGCGTTGCGTCATGCCCGGGCCGAACGGCTCATCGCTGAATGATGAAATTTGGACACGACGCGCCGGCGCTCGAGGCGGTTTTCCGCGGGTAGCTCGCGAACCGCTGCTATCTGGGGTTGGCTGCGAAACGGTTTTGCACCGGAGGCAAAATGTGACCCACGATAAAGCCGACGAGCAGAAGTTCGAAACCGTGGCCACATCTCGGTAACCAGGTGCTGGATCGGTCAGAAATTGGGATCGTTTGACTGACAATTGATTGAGAATCGCACCATATAACGTAGGCGATTGTACATGCTGAAAGCTAGAGCAGTCAATGTGGATTTGAACGTTTTTGACACTTTCACGTCTTGTGCCACAACTCGGCAGCCAGACAAGGTGGAGGCGCGAGTCTAACTTCATAGCGTCGACCAGCGTACCGCCTGCAAGTAAGGTGACTGACACGAAGTTCTGCGACGCACAGTTGTACCAGTAATCGTCGGACGAGCCGAGAATGTCAGCATATCAAAAACGTTTCGAATACAACCCACTGTCGTCAAAACTATAGCCAAGGTCGTGACAAAGTTCACAATGCCGCATGCACAGATTCATTGCTTGCATTTACCACATATTCATTCGTCATTCCGTGCACAATCCCGTCCAAGCATCAACTCTGCCCAAAGAGATGCAATACCACATTATTGCGCCGTCAAAATGTCACCGGTTGATCGCTCAGTCGCCGCTAGCAAGTCTTTAAAGTAAAACAACCAAAAGTGCACGTGCCGAATGCATTTTGTTATTAATTGTATGATACGTTCATTCATTCATTCGATGCGACGAACAGGGTGAGCAAAAGTGAGCATCGAATGCGTTGTTGGAGCCATTCCTTTGATAGATATTAGAGAAACCAACGCATAACAAGCTACGAATAATTTGCAATGCGTGCAATAACAGGATCCAGGAAATGCAGTCAGCTTTCAGCGAAGCATACTGTTACGGAAAAATAGCCATTACAATGTCTTGAGTGGGTATGCTTTGGAGTCACTGCAGAGTCATAGTAAGCGGATCGTGGGCTTATTGCATAGAAACACCTCAAATAATGTTTTTACATGACCTCTTTTATTACTTCGGTGTGCTTAATCACCTTCGAAGTATGGCTATGTAGGACGAAATCGGTAGGTGTATGTCAGTTATCATCCCGGGCTCAAATTAAGGTAGCACAGAAGCATGCTGAACGTAAATTAAATTTCAAAAAGTGGGAGCCAGTTAACTTTACTGGCCTCCCAACTTAAAAAGCTGGCGGACATGGCCTCTTGCCCCCTCCCCCTCCACCTCATTCCTACACCCATAACCAGTTGGTTTAAAACCTTAATTCTGCGCATCGTTGGCATCCTTTTAGGGCAAGTGGCTGAAAAGTGTTCACTTTGTGGCTCTAGCTCAGTTCATGGCCAAACAACAGTGAAGGATGTTATCACCCTCAACTTGCCTTACAAAGTTCACCCCTTTCTTGGGTTTTCTGTAACCGGTACGCCAAAAAGGGCTTCTAAATAGGACTCAGCGCGTAAAATTATCTGACATTTCACAAGATCAGCCATTTGGTTAAATCATCGGGGGGTTTTGAAATTGACTGGCCCGCTGTGCACTGTCACGCCGCCACCCACCGCCTCCACGCGCAACATCCTACTAGCGCGCGACGGTCGTTGCCGACTAAAATGTATACTGTTTCAACAGCAGTCTGTTAGCTGAACATTGCGGAGACAAAGCGCAACGCCAACGCCCGTAAGCTGAGGGCACAGAGGCAGCGTGTGGGAGGTGAGCTTTTGCAACGGCAACGGCTCCCACGGATCTCACACTCTGACTCCCCGCACGGCTCGAGCTCTGGCACCTCGTCACAACGCTGCTTCACATACCTCGTTTGTTGTCTCTCCGTGGATTCGGGGACGTGCGCACTTAGAAGCCCCCGGATACACGTGGCATCCCTTATCGAATTGAGTACATGTATTGACGTGGCTGATGTACGTGACTAAACGTCAACAGTAAAAATTTCAAGAATGCGCGCAAAATAGAAAGATCGAGAACATGTAATACTATTTTTGGCGCGTAAGGAATCGTGTGAGCCAGCGGCGCGCTCGCGTCGGTTTTCAGGGGAAATCTTTAAATCGCGCCCTCCGCAGCGAAGTCCTGCGCACGCCCAGTCGTGGATCCACCGCCCTCTGGTACTAATTTCCCACCGCTGGTAGTTGCTGTTTTATCCACACCGCGGGCGTCTAACTGACCAGCACACTTGTCCTTTTTCACAGACTGTCGTCATCGAGCGAATATTTAGTTTCCACAACTTCGTTGATTTACAACCCGGATGTTCCAGTGGAGATTTGGTTTCTGGCCGTACCTTTACCTACAATGTGTTGCTTGCCTAGTGCCCATTCCTTACAAACTGTTCCACAGCAGCTGTTCGTCGCTGTCTCAACGGTATGCAAACGTGCAAAACATATCCCCACTGCCAAGTGTGGCCGCCGGTCCCCCGGATTGAAATCATTGAGCTTTGCCAAGCCCTCTTCGCCAAGGCGCCGGTGACGACTACTTCCGTTGCAGGCCGGCAAGCCGGACTGGGCCCCGAAACACGACGAGGAGAAGCAGGTGACCTAACTGGTGTCGCGAGCCGAGCAGCCGCGCGCTGATCGATGACAGCTTTCCATTGCCAGCGGCATGCACATGCTTTTGCAGCAGAGCTCACGGTGGCCCTGGCGTCCTGGCGTAAAGGACGTGGTGTGCTAGTGTGTAGAGGAGTAGAGGAGGGGAACTGAGGTCCAAGTTCAGGTGCTCAAGCGTCAGGATAAGTAGTTCAGTTTTCGCAAGAAGTGTCGTTATCTGGTGCGACCAAGCCTCTTTGGCAGGCCCTTTGAATGCTGTGTTTAACAGGGCGGTAGTTGCAGGTACGTTCTTGATTGCAAGTGTCGATCCAGTAGAACAGTTAGTGGAATCGTATTTTGGTGGTGCCAGTCTGGTGGGCGTGCATCTTTTCTCGCATGTTGAGGATCTCCTAATTCAAGCGTGATCGTGCCTGCACTATGATGATACACACGGAAAACTCTACCGTAGTTTGTAGCTTAGGGAGAATTCGTGAGTAGCAACCTGGTCTGACTAGCAAATGTCGCACCTAGCCGGAACTCGAAGGAACGATCCTGTTCTGACCGTAGCAGCTGTCGTATCCAATTGGAACTCAAGGGAACGATCCTGTTATGACCGTAGCAGCTGTCGCATCAAGTCGGAACTCAAAGGAGCGATCTTGTTCTGACCGTAGCAGCTGTCGCATCTAGTCGGAACTCGAAGGAACGATCTTGTTCTGACCGTAGCAGCTGTCGCATCTAGTCAGAACTCGAAGGAGCGATCTTGTCCTGACCGTAGCAGCTGTCGCATCTAGTCGGGACTCCAAGAAACGACCCGACCTTTGTCTGAGGTACGTCAATGAAACCGAAGTGTGACGGAGTTCGTGTTAATTTTTGTTCAGCTTATGGAGCGAAGCCTTTCAAATGTAAGTGTACTGCAATTTAAACCCAGCTCTGTTTTTGTTATGTTTTGTCTCTTGTTCAAGAACAATGCATTTTACTTGTGGGTGCAGATACATCATGGTGACAGTAAAGTTGATGCACCTCGAGGATATTTTGATGCTTTGTACAAAATTGGACGGTGTCAACCATCTGCAAAACTATCACTCGGTGACGGCCTGAATCCGTTCATAACTTGAGAAATTGGTGAGCCTAGCAGCGATCCTGTCTAAAACTGGCTTACTAATTTGCTTTAAAGGAAATATACCAAAGAAGCACTGCAAGGTCACTATGCTGTCAACAGTGGCACGTAACAATGTAAATCAACGTGACGTTCAATAGAGCAATTTTGATCCGATTTTGTGCGCGGCCGATTGATGTCCGCGTCTTTTATAGCGCCAGGTCGTTTGCGGCTGGCCGGTTTTTGGGGTCGGTAGTCGCCCAACCGGCTAACTGTTTTCCTAATCAGATAGTGACCATGATGACAATCAGAATCGTTTCAAAATCAGTGTTGCTATTAGGTGGTGGGTGAAAAATTCAGCTTCAATCTTTGAAAATATGATCAGGCCAATTGTTTATTCAAAGATCTCATGAACAAAGCTGATTTCCCGAGATCTTTGTTAAGTGTCTCAAGGTCTGCCAGTCCTTGACCTTTTCCCAAGGCCTCAGCAGACAGGGCAATAACCACCGGATTGTTCGGATAGCATCTCGCTATTCTGCAACAGAAGTAAATGGTGGAACGTTTCCATCAGAAGTCATAGCAATTATGACTTCTTCATTTCGGCGAGGGTGGGCTAGATATATTTTTCAGCGCTGTGTGTTTAGACTTCATCATCTTGACAATAATCCACCTCCGGACGCTACGAGGTACTGGTCACGGGAGTGACACCGGTTAAACGACGCTATGACGTCATTAAAGCAAATAGCTGCAGCCCGTGACTAGGAGACCTAGCCTCACCTAGCCGCAGCCCGTGACTAGGTGACCTAGCATCACCTAGCCGCAGCCCGTGACTAGGTGACCTAGCCTCACCTAGCCGCAGCCCGTGACTAGGTGACCTAGCCTCACCTAGCCGCAGCCCGTGGCTAGGTGACCCAGGGCTGCTTTGCCACTGATCAGCACGGCTTAACCGTGGTTGTCACTGAGCTGATCTGTGCTGGTCTGTGGAGGGAGAGGACCCCGACTGTCTGCACCGGGCCCCGAGAGCAGGAGAGGACATAAACCACAGTGAAGGGCTGTTGGCGCGTGCGGAGGCCGACTCTGTGGGCTGACGGCTCTTCTCGCTACCGCAGGAGGGCGAGGAGGGCGAGGAGGGTCAGGCAGAGGCGGCACCGGCGGAAGGTAGGTGCCACCCCATCCGCTCGACGAACGGCAGCAATCCACCGTCAGACGTGATAGAACTGCGTAGTGCTTCTTTTACATGATTGCTACTTTTAACTCACTTAACTGATTCAACGCGAACTGGAAATGCATGCCCCATGCCGGAAGATGGGGTGCTAATAGTTAGTCCAAAGGAAACGAAAGAAAAAAACTGCAAGAGCATCGCTATCGGTTGACGACCATTTTCGACCCTTTCCCGACAGCTCAAGGTCATATCCGTCCACGTTTAGTTATGCTTTGACATCGCCGATGGTTCTTGTTAGTTTCCAACTTAATGACAGATTACACGAGCCACGCAGCGCCAGGGCCGACAGAACGCCCCACAAATAGCACCGCGGTCCCGTCCGAGATCATGTCAGCTCCAAACAGCTGGCACTAAGTGGAGCTAAATATGCCGCAGCGTCGACGGACGCTGCGCCGGCCGAGACGCCGGCCGCGGACGCCGTTGACACCCCGTCGGCCGAGGCGGCGCCAGCCGATGCACCGGCCGCCGAGCCGGCTCCAGCAGAGGTGGCGCCACCTGAGGCAGAGGTGGCGCCATCTGAGGCAGCGCCGGCTGCCGAGGCAGCGCCGGCGGAGGCGACGCCCGCCGAGGCGCCGGCCGCCACCGAGTGAGGCACCCAGAGCTATGCGCCCCGCTGCACCCAGCCAAGTCTTGCCGTTTATTTCTTTTCAATCGTCTCGAGTCCTTGTTTGCCTGTTCCTTTGCTAACACATTACAATTTCCTACGGTTCTCCTTCCACCTGCGTCGTCTTGGCTTCCCCTTGCAACTGTGCTCTTCTCCGCCCTCGTTTTTTGTCATTCGTCCTCAGCTGTTCGCTTCTCTCTTCCACAGCACTCGCACCCTCTTTTCTGTCTTTTGTCAACTGTATCAGGTGACTTATGTTCGATGTGTAATTCTCGCTTCTGAAACATAGGTCTAACGTTCAGTAACGGTGGTTAGTTAAAGACCTACATCTGGAGCAAAATTGTGTTTTTTCGCATTGAATCTATGCAGTGGGTTGACAATACAAATACGACTTTCAACATACGATCTCTATGCCGTCAACAACTACGAGAGCTTCTCTTCAACATATTTTCGTCAATCACCAAAACTTCACACGCAGAAGCCCAGCCACGCATGGACGCAGCCACGTTTCCGGGGTTGGGATGAAAACGTTCACTTCACCGTCGACGCTTTGAAATCATGCACGTTGCGAGTAATGCTGCCCAAGCTGGGCGCTTCGGTCTGACAGCAAGCGTGCGCGAGACGCTGGTCGGATGACAGACTTTGCTTGATCTTGAAAGAAAGGTGTTTGGCAGACGTTGGGATTGGTTCAAAGGATCACGACAAGAACGTACTGCGTAATGCTCTGCCATAAAAACACTGACACGCTTTCCTTTAAGACCCAAGATTCGTCAACTGGCTCGCTCGCTTCCACTGTGATCTTCGTCTATCCCGCGTGCTAGCCGTAGAGGTGAATTCTCCTTCATCCCAGTTATCAAAAATTGTTAACATCATCTTCCAGCGGAAAAGTGCTCCCTGGAAGTGTGCTTGGTTGACCAAGGGTAAAATACGCTATCGTCCTACGAACGACTTTCGACATGATCAAATCACTGCACACCGTGACCAGCCTCGTACAGATCACGGACTAGTTATGCCTGGGAGGTCGTCTCCCGTCACAGTGAAGCTAGCTGGACCAGATTTCACACCGCTAGACGTAATTAAGTAGTGACGATATTGCTGGTACTAGTCCTTCTCACGAGTCAACAATTATTTTTTAAAGTCCAAAGCTCCCATCTGCCAATATCATACTTCCACCACCTACCACTTCACACACCGAAAAGATCTCAAATCCCAGAAGATCCTTCGACAAAATTCAATCCAAAGAGAACCATCAGAAGATTTCTCGAGAAAAGTTTAAAAAATGCTTCAGGAAAAGTTTTCCTGAAGCTCCTCTGACAAAAATTTCCGAAAAAGGTTCCAAGATCCCAGAAGATCATTCGACATAATGTTTGAAAAGATTCAAGATTGCGAATATATCGCAGGATCCTAAGGGTCCCGAAGGTCCTTCGACATCTATGTGCCATTGCAAGCTTTGAAGCAAACCTGTTATCACATCCTGAAATATCCTCAGGCATGATCTATGCATCACCATGAGCAGAGAATGTATTGGGAATGTAGTGCGGCAGGGATAGCAATGGCCTTACCAGCCTGCAAAACTAAAGCGATAGCCGAAATGTGTTAGAGACGATTTGTAAAAATTGATTCCTATACAGTATAAAATATGAAGTTCTCGTTACTTTTCTGAATGCAAGTGGTTACCAAGCCGACAAAATTTCGCTCTTAAATATAACAGAAAGGAGTCTCTAAGTGGCACACAAACCAGCTACAATAGCTGCAAATGCTCAGGAAGCCTGTTCATCTCTGAATAAATTATTTTTTATCTTGAATAGCACGGTTTGAAAAAAATCAGCAAGTTATAGCAAACGGAGACCACCGAAATGGCTATTTATGCCTTTCAGTATCTGTCATGAACTGAAAAATGACTGAATTTTGGGTACATTGCGAAGCAGCCAAGGACAATATTTTTTATTTCATGAAAGGACGGTGCTGCATGTCTAATGATAGGGGCGCTTCTGCCAAGCAAAAAAGGAACAGGAAACCCGCACACTCCACCATGCAGGTTGCAGCACCACCAGAGGGCGGGCCTTAAATTGTATTCAGGTTCGCCTCCACGCTGTTGTGTGTCTGAGCAAACATACCTCTACGAAAGTTCATGTCGGCAGATAAGTAACTTTCATTGCCGGTCGATATCCCTCCGACAATGACGCAATGTGCACAAGGTCGAGACCGCCGCGCACGAGTAAAAGTATATTAAACGGAACCCTGTAACTTTGCATATCGCCTCTGTGGCCTTCCCGCAAACATTGATGTACACATACTGTCGCGGAGTGGACCGAATAAAATAGATTTCCTGATTGTGCGAGTGTGCTGCACCCGGCAGGGAATATCGCTACACCAGCGCCATCTAACGCACGCAGTCGCAAACTCCCCGTGCGATTGAAGTAATTTTTTTCCAAGGCCGCCGTATTGTGGCTACCACGCCACAGGCGGCCAGCAGTAATTGAAAATGCGCCCTAAATGGGTGATGTGAGCAAAAAAGAATGTGTCATCAAATGAAGGCTTAGCATTGTCAGCCAACAGTGCTCCAAAAATGACGACGTGTGCACAAGATCACATCCGACGAGCACAAATCAATGAATCTTAAACTGGGTGCCATAACTTTGGAAATCGCCGAAGCGTTCGTCCTGCCCGCATTAAGTGAGACGTCAGGGGATCGACCGAAAAACGGAAACAACACCCGGACAAATGTACTATACTGATAGCTTATAGACAGATGCCACCGCTATCGAACGCACGGAGTTGCAGACTTCGTTCTCGATCATAAATGTTTTTCACGGGCCTGCGTTATAATCGTAATGTGGCCACCACGTTTGAGGCGGACTTCCAGCAGTTAGCAACACATCAAAGTATGATTTGAACAAGAAAGTTTCTATCGGCCGATGAACGATTTACCTTGCCGGCCACTAATAAACCAACAATGAGGGCCTTTGCGTGTGGTCTAAGGTGCCGTGCACAATTTTTTTCTGAAAAAAATTGAACGCCACAACTTTGCAAATCACCGTCTCGGCTAGCTCGCCAGCATTGAGCGAGACGCTGTCGGGGCTCGACGGTATAAACAAAGAAAAAATGAAACGATCAGTCACATGGTCGCACCCGATGAACACGGAAAAAGTATTCTAAATTGGATACTAGTGAATTGGAAAGTCTGCAACGCTGACAGTTACGAAGTCTTACAACGGCAGCTAATATCACTATTCAAGTGCCATAGAATGCGAACAGTTCCCGTGCCACCGTATGCTTCCCAGCCCGCCAAGGGTAGCCCACCCACTGGTGGCAATACGCCTTGAAGGTATTAGTAAAAAAGATTATGTCGGAGGTAGAGTGATTTACATTACAGTCGCATGACATTACACATTACGTTACAATCGTGCCTACTACGCACGAAAAATGGTTGCCGTAACTTTGCAAGTCACCTCTGTGGCGGTCCTGCAAGCATTGAGAGAGACTGTCGAGGGTTGACCAAACTAAACATAGACTCCTGAATTGAGCAAGTGTGTTTTCAAACAGCTGGTAAGCATACGGCATTGCTATCGAATTCACACACACTGGAAATTTGCACTCGAGATTAAAATAATCTTTTTCTAGGCTGCAGTGCTCTGGTCATGCCGCTACCGGCAGGCAGCCCGAAGCTAGCGTTGTTAAGGGTTGGTGTTGTTAAGGGTTGGTGTTGGGAAAAACATTTATATCGACCGATGAGCGGTCTACATTCCAGGCCGATAGTGCTCATCTGATGACATGCTGTGCGCAGGTAACACCTGCCTCGCACGAGTGATTGTATTTTAAACTGGACGCTGTAACTTCGGAAGTCACTGCTGCCGCCAGCGCGCCAACATTTTGTGAGACCCTGTAGATGGGCCGAACAAACAAAATGGAAAACGGGATCAGACAAGTGTGCTGTACTGGAAACGTGTAATCCAATACCAGCGCTATCAAAGGCACGCTGTCGCACTCTTCGTGCGCATGTATTTCGCCTCCCTGAGGTACATTTTGCCTGCGATCAACAAGACAAACGAAGCCTTTCAGTCCGAGTCTGCTCAGACCCACGCCACACAGAAGACACTGTTCACATTGTACAGGACGATGGTTCAGAACCAACTGCAGTCTGAAGCAGGGGAGTCGGGCCTGGAGCACATGAACCCTTCAGATCCTCGAAACTTCATAACACTTATGGATATGTACTGCGGGGCTGAGGCTGAGGCCGTGGCGTTAGCCGAATCCGTGCTACCAGACGTCCAAGGCGGCTTCATGCTGCACGTGCAGATGTCTTACATCGGACTATCCCAGCAGAACCCGCCTCGGTTTGACTTCCAAGATGACATGTGAAAGCTCCTGGAAGCCAGCGGTCCGCTGTCCGACGTCAAGTCCACTGTCCCTCTTGCGGTGAGGTTCCCCAACATGATACTACAACGAGACCGCAAGACACTGAACTTGGAGTGGGGACAGCTGAAAGGATCCGGAGAGGGGGAGGGGGGACACGGGGCCATTCCCTCCTTGGGCCTGAAGTGGCCCATTGGCTCCGAATGGGCCCCATAGCCGGCCGAACAGGTGCAGTTTTTTAAAACACAAACGCAACAAAATTGGACGTTTTTGAACTTGCAGGCGACCAGGAACATTCGCAAGCGAAAGTGAGGGGCCCACCAGCAGACAAAAAGGCAATGAATGAAAAGCTGTCACTTGGGAATCTTAAGCCTCATTACCCTGTCCAGGGGTCCTATGCTGTTTCCTGGGTACCTATATGCCCATTTGCAGGGTCCTTCCGATCGTTAAAGAGCCTTCCACATTGCCCTTCATTTTTTTTTTCATTTGCTCGAAGGTCCCTGCACTGTAGCTAGGCCCTCCCTGCTAGCCTGCCGGGGCGGTCTTATTAATCAAGGGCCTTTCACGGATTTTTTCATTAGCCAGAAAGGCTACGCTATAGCTGTGGTCCCACACGTTGACCTGCCGGGTGCTCTTGGCTGCTCAGGATCTCTTTACGTTGGTCTCGGTTAACCTACCGACACACTCGCGATATGCCCATGGACCCTCTACACTGGTCTAGGGCCATTCCAATTATCGGTGACTTGCTTAGGGCGCTACGTTCTTAACGGACTTCCATCTGTTAACTTGCTTGGGAACATCGGTTGTTCGGAGCCCACCAAATTGGGTCTTGGGTGCTTTCTTTTTTAATGGAAGGCTCTGCACACTTGTCGGGGCCCGTCTGTTAACCTGCTCAGGCACGCTCGATTGTCCCGGGGCCCTGCGCATTGAGTATTTTAGTGTAGGCCCTACGCTCCTGTCCGGGACTATCTGATAGCCTGCTCGGGTACACTCGATCTTTCGCGGCCCCTCCGCACTGGGTCTTGGGTATTTCTTTTTTAGTGGGAGGTTCTACGCGCTTGTCGGGGGCCTACCTGATAATCTGCTCGGGCACATTCGATCGTTCCGGGCCCTCTACGTTGGGTCTTGGGTGTTTCCTATTTAAACGGAGGGCCTTCACACTTGTTGGGGGTCCTATCTGTTCGCCTCCTCGGCGACACTGGATTGTTCGGGGGCCCTGCACATTGAGTCTTGGTGGTTGAATTTAGGGCGCTAAGCCCCCATTGGAATGACCTGCTCGGGTACACTTCATCTTTCGAGTGCTCTCCGTACTGGGTTTTGAGCACTTTTCATTTGAATGGAGGGCCTTGTGCTCTTGTCGCGGCCCCTTCTGATAAGCTGCTCGGACACATTGGACCGTTGGTGAACCTCTACATCGGGTCTTAGTTGGTTCCTATTTCGCTGAAGGGCCCTACGCTCTTGACTGGGGCCCTATCTGTTAACCTGCTCTGACGCACTCGATCGTTCGGAGGCCCTCCATGGCTTGTCGTGGGTATTTTCATATTTGAACGGAAGGTCCTACGCTGAACGGGACCCCTATATGTTAACCTTCTTGCGTGCACTCGATCACTCCGAGATCTTCCATGCTATGTCTTGAGTGCTTCTTGTTTGAGTGGGTTACCCTATGTTCTGGCGGGCCCGACCTATTCAACTGCTCGGGCCGGTGGCAGATACAGAGGGGAGGGGGTCTCACCGGACCACGCCCCGATGGACCATGCCGAGGGGACCCATAGGCTTCGAAGAGGCCGATAACCGACTGAATAGACACAGTTTTCTAACAAAAAAGGGTATCAAAATGGGGCGTCTTTTAGCCTGCGGACGACAAAGAATGATTGCAAGCAAAAGTGAAGAGCTTGTAAGCAAGCAAATTTAAATTTTGGTGATCGAAAAGGTGGCGATTGAGGGGAATTTGGGGGCTCATTATGCTGTCCAGAGGCCTTACGCTGTTGCCTGGACCATGTGTGTTCACTTGCCGGTTCAATTTGATTGCCTAGGAGCCTTCCACGTTGCCATTGATCTCTTAACATTTTTCCGTAGGTGATCCCAACGCTGCTGTCGGGTGCTATCTCCTTCCATGCATGGCCACTCTCGATCGACCGGGGGGGCCTCCACCGATTTTTTTCCATTCGCCAGAAAGGCTCGATACACTTTTTCTGGGATCCTATATGCTAAGGTACACTCGGATGCTCAGGAGTTCTTCCTACCAGTCTCGGGTTCTTTCCACTTGCTCGGAGGGCCTTGTGCTGTTGTTGGGGCCCATATAAGCACATAAGATAAGACACCGAGACACTCGCTGCTCAGAGGTCCTCCACTTTGCTCGAATACACGCCAAGAGCCATTAACAGGCAATACGTATGCACATACAGTTCGCTGTACTATCTCTCCCAAGCGCCACCGTATGGCTGCCCTATAACATTCACTCTTGGCATCGTAGATGCGCTTTGCGCTGATCTTCATAAGAGAAAGAAACTATCCATCAGACATATCTTTCGTGCCTGATGCCTTGCTTAACACGCGCTCGGGTGGGGGTCGAATCGACCTTCCCAAGGGTTATTCCGGAATGGTTTCCGAACGGTGCTGCACAGCCGCACCAAACTTTGCATAGCTATAAACAACTGAATGATTGCGCAATGTAAAAAACTAGATGTACATTGTAAGGCCGCTGACCTACGGCAGGTCAAAGTCAGGGCATGGATTCAGCGAAGTCAATTTCCAGAGAATCGTTCGATCTAGTGGAACAATGAAGTGCTGGACGAAGTCACACATCTCTGAGATGCTTTCTTAGGCAACACAACGATTGAATGAACAAAATTTCATTGACCTCTGGTCAGGTATAAAGGTTAACACCAGCATGCTTTTTCTCAAAATCTTGCTGTGTGGGGTAGTTTTTGGTGTTCATTTGGAATTTATTGATAACAGGAACCGCATTAGACATCTTTCATGGGTTTCTTAAAGGTCAGAAAAGGTCGCTAGCCTAAAATGACCGAGTTTAACATTTTGTTTTTGGGAACATGTTGCCTAGCGTAAGCTTTGCCGCTCATTCGAATGCAAAACACAAAGCAACCTTGTAAGATTTGGTCGCCTTGACCTTCGAAAGGTCAAACGAGGTCACTGACCTTAGATGAGCATGTGATCTTTTGCTTAGAACGAGTATGTAGGTTCTGGGGACACTTTGGATGCCGGCTTGGAATTTGATCTTACGGGACCTTATTTGACCCGAGGGTCATGACCTGGGAACCTTAAACTTTGACTCATGTGAGTTCACGTACGGGCTTACACCCCCCGTGCATTTGGTGTCTCTAGTTCTCTTAGTTTCTGAGATCTCAGGGGGTAAAAATGACCTCTTCCCCCACCCGAACGGAGGCTATCCAGTCGGACACCCGGGCGCGTGCTAAGCTGCAACGTCATCCGAACAGATGACGTTGGATGCATGCGGGCCACAAATTCCATGGTACGCTGGCTTGTAGAGCTGGTATATTTTGGTCGCCTGCCCGGTATGCCGGTGTGCAAATCTGGTACATTTTATGCATCTGTTTGGTACGCTCACTAAAAACAAGACGGCAACATTGTATTGGTTAGTTCATAAAGGCTAGTTGGGGAGGTGAGGGGGCGACGGCTGTTTATTGTTGTTATATAACACATAGAGCTCATTAAATGTATCAGAGGTCTTCAATGCTATAAAGCACAGCTACTGAAACTATTTTGGTGCGTTTTCCCATTTAGATGTAGGTGATTTTGGCTGGTTTAGGAAATGCGAGGCGTACGACGGCGATACATCCAAGGCTTTGTAAAATGTATGAATCGGCGTGCGTAACATTATATATATCTGTTGTAGGTGTATGAAAATTTCCACATTTTGACAAATTGGCAACACATTGTTAACCTGCAAGTAACCTTCTTGGTAATATTTTCAGAAAGTTTACGTGACATCTGGCCAGCATGGCCATTCAGAATGGCAATGGTAAGTGCTTAACCTGTTGATATGCTGCATAGGTGGCTGTCATAATTCATTGTGTTTGAAATGTTTCTGTAGTTTGATCAAATGTCATTGGTGTAAACACATTAAATTTTGTCTGTGGGTGCACAGCATCTACTTAAAGGTACCATTGTTGTCAGACCCCATGTGCTGGGATTTTCTGAGAATGGAAATGAAAATTGCAGATAGTTATTGTGAGGTGGCATTTAAATTTTAACCTAAGGTCAATAAGAGTTACCCTAATGTGAAAAGTACTGTCTATGATAAATGTATTGACAAATACAAAATTTGGTTATGGACAGCAAGGGAATCTGTTTACTTTACTGGGGTAGAAGCTGCTGTATGTTTTCTTATGAACTTTCACATAAAAAGAGTGTCCTGATATTTAATGCCGTGGTAAAGCTATAATGACAAATATTGTTGCAAGCTGGTGACACGGTCTGGTGACATGGTCCGGTTATAGACCGCTGCTAGGCCAGATCTAGACAATACCATGTTCCGGGACTACCATGTCCCAGGACTGGTGCAGCCACGCCTGGGTCATCTAGTCTGCTGTCTTGTGCTGTCATGTGGTCAGTGGTAAGGGCTTACTGACATACTGGACTGGCCATGCTCCACCTCAGTCCTCAGTCAAGTCAGGGCATTGCAGCATTGCAGCATTGCAGGTATGGGGAGATCAGGGCTGCCTTCTGAGTTTTCTTGGACAAATATTTGCCATGCTGGTTATCATTAGCATCAAATGGCAGAAACATAGATGCAGGGCTTGTCATTTCATTCATTATGTCAGCAAAATGTAGTTGCAATATGTCCTGTTAAGTCAAGATAACAGAGACAACAAGTTAACATAACAATATAAGCAACGCATGGGCTGCAGTTAGTATAATTTGTACTGTTTTGCACTTGAATATGTGACCCAAGACCACTGAGCATGGCTCATGTTATGGTTGAATGCTTCTTTAGCCAGGTGCAGCATTTTATCCTAGAGATGAATTGTACACCATCCAGCACCTAATGCAGCTATGCTGCATGGAGTAACACCTTGCAAGATGATGATTGCATTCAAATTTTCAATTTAATTGGCAATGGCTGGCAGTGCAAATTTGGTACACAAATGCAATAAAAAGTCAGTACAAAGCTATACTACTGGCACCTCTGTGATGCACATATGGAGCCTGCAATAAGACCAGTCAAGCTGATAAGGCTTCACTGGTCTTGGGTTGGTTGATTAAGGTTGGTTGGTTTCACCTTGGCTTCTCCCCCTCCTCCCCCCCCCCACAAAAAAACAATGAGCAGTGCTGTTGGAAACTTTTTTATTGAGAGCAATGTGTCTTTAAGTCCCTTTCCCATGAAATATTGTACAAGAGGGTTTATGCTGACAGTAGGAATGGTAGGCCAGATACATGCTTGCATTGCTTTCCCAAGCTTCCTCAAACAGTATTGTGCCGAAATATGTCACAAAAACCATAATCCAGGCATGTAAAACTGGAAAACTTGTGCTTCCTTTTTGTGTTTGGCTGTACCTCATATGAATATCTGGAACACCCCGCAGTGCACACTGTAACCGACTCCCCTCCCCATCTCCACATAACATGACTGGGCAATCACAGGAGGCTATCTGCGCGCAGAGGGCGGCTCGTGGCCGGGGTCGTCGCAGGGCGTCTCGTGGCCCGTCACGTCGCAGGGTGCGATGCAGCACACGCCCAGCAACGAGGAGTGTGGCATTCGCGAGGTGTGGGCTTACAACCTGGAGCGGGAATTTGACCACATCCGGCGGGTGGCGCTGACGTACAAGTACGTGGCCATGGTAAGCAGACGAGGGCGCGCAGGTGTGGATATCTGGAATTGGATGTGCCAGGCAGCTGGAATGCTTGTTTAGTTGGCTCCGCATGTGACTGACGATCGTGATAGCTCGTTTGTTTTCGTTTTTGGTCGGTTTTCCTGGGCGCCAGTATGGTTGGGGCGGTCGGCGCGCCTTAAAGCCCAAATCCTCATCATCCGTTGGCCGTTTGCCTGTTCTGGTCACTTCAGATAAAGTTGCGGCGGCGACCAAAATATAAACATGCCTTTGGCAAGTGAAAATTCTTGGACAAACATAAATTTCCAACCCACTACCCCATTTGGTTTCCTCAGTGGACTCATTTTGTTTATATTCATGTATTTTCTATTCATGCGAATGATCCGTTTTTTGTTTGAATTTATCGGAGCTTATACGACATAAGAGTGAGGCCTGAAATGGTCGGAAGTCGTTTGCGGAATGCAGTGCTCGTATGCATCACTGGAGGACTCCGTGTACCGGACTGAATATCGGGCGATCCGTGGAGAGCCTGAGGCCATCCAGGGGTACGCTCAGCTCCTGAAGCATGGGACGGGGAAGGTCATAACCTCCGTTCAGACCAGCAAATCGGGGGGCGTGCCTGCCGTGACGTCATTTAAGATGTGACATGCACCTGTGCACACGGCTAGTGCGAACGCACTAACTGCATGCACCGTGCGCTGCGCGGAGGACGGCCAGTTTCTTCACGAACTAAGGGCATTGCAGCCTCCCACAGATTATCGAAATGCAGGTCGAGGAGGCCTCCATAAGTGAGATAGAGGGTAATAAATCGGGCTCAGGAGACTTTCCTGCATCAAGAGACACGGTTTCTGGATCATGAGGCCACCTTTAAGAATAAGGTGTCCCATCTTCTAAATCAGTAGGCCCAATTTTGTGCTTAGATGGCCCTTTTGCTCGCTTGGGAAGCCCCATTCTGGGTTAGAAGGCACCCTGTATATCCAGGAGGCCCCATTTCTGGAACAGAAGGTGCCTTTCACCCATTAGATGATCATGGTTCTGGATCACGGTGACTTATTTTGGGATGACAAGGCCCTTGACTAGGTTTGGGGGCCCCTTCTTAAATCAGAAGCGTCCTGTCCTGAATAAGGAGGTCCCACCTTGCATCAGGAGGCCCTTTTGTAGAGCAGGGGGCGCTCATTCGGGATTTTTAAATTATAGACATTTACTTGGATGTGATGGATGTGACAATTTGGTAAGGGGCACATACCGTCGGTGCTCCTTCTCTTTGAATACGACACTGTCCAGGAGGCTTCTTTGTGAGGAGGCCTCATTTTGCCCAGGAGGCCCCCCGGAAAGATCTGCCCCCTCAAAATCCGTGGCAGCCACCCATGAACGTAGATACGTTGTTATGGATCCAATGTACAGAGAAAAGTGCGTACATCACTTGGATGCCACAGTCAACCGAGTGAGATCGGTAGATTGCGATAATTAGCATCATCTCCGTGTGCGTTGTAAGGCGATCCGCCGGCCGCCAAATCTTCAATGACGTCACGTCGACCGCTCGGTAGCTGCTGTAAAATTGTCCCTGTCACACCTTTTTGAACCGGAGCACAGGCCCTGATATACCCTTTTCCAACGAGGAGTCCTAGTAATTAAACACAACGCAGCTGAAATAAGCGGCTTGAGTTTCTCAGCTTCATTGTTACGATATTCCGATCCGATCAGTCGTTGCATTGCATGACGCTGACTTCCTCGCTGCTTGTTGCATTGCGTAGGGTATCGGACGTGTTAGTGCATCCATGAACATGCGGCTCATATAACTCCACCTGCTATAAATGGCTGAGAGGCTGAAGCGTTATTTGTTCCTGGCTTGAGATAAAAGGCAGTGTGGATCGATTCTGGAGTTTGAGGAGCTGCAGGCTGGAGGCCTTAAGCCACTGGGCGTGGTGGTGCATAGCTCGTAATCGTTACTCAAACCGCCGTGCGTGGCCTGCCTGCTCGTTCCACAGCGCAGCACTTGTTCTTACCTGACCTAAGTCAGCCGTAGCAGTGCCTTGTGACCTGACGCTGGAGCCGTTCCAGGACACGGAGTTTCCGGGGGTGGTGGCTCGGCCGATCGGCGAGTTCCGAAGTGCCCAGGACTACGAGTATCAGCTGCGCCGCTGCAACGTCGACCACCTGAAGATGATCCAGCTGGGCGTCACCTTCTTCGACGAGCACGGCCGCACGCCCCATCCCATCACCACCGTGGCAATTCAACTTCAAGTTCAACTTGGTGTAAGTGGCACGCGCGGCCGGCGGGCGGGTTGGGCACCAGCGGGCCGGGCCGCCCGGCCGTCTTCCTCATGTGGACGGGGTTGGGGTGATATGGCAGTGCTCATGCAAATTGCCAAAGGGACTGTTCCACATTATGGCGGATTTGAACGGAGACAAGCATTGCCGAGGTCATTCCCTGCCTTTCACTGGTACGCTTTTTTAATGCTTCAAGTCTTCTGTTTTCTGAGCTATGCGCACGCCAACTTGTGCCGATTTTTTACGACGCCTTATTTAAAGTCATCCAGAGATGTACGTCATAGAAACACCACACGAATTCCACCTCCTCAATGGCGTCTGGCCAAATGGCCGAGTTGAGGCCATGTTGTGTTCAAGGTAAAACAAAATATGACCATCGACCTATTCGGGACTGAGGCACATCAGCACGAACCGTGCCAGCAACGGATATCAGTCGGCTTTCAGCCAGTTTAGTATGTTATGTGCAAGTCTCGAACACGAACCGCGTTTTGTGATACACAATATAGGCATTTTGGCAGTTCCACTAGTCAGGACTGAAGTGAGACGGGGAATCGTACAAGTTAGGAATAGAACTGTGATTGGGAATGCAAATGCCAGTAGAAAACATGCCGTCACAGACAAATATGTCTGAACACCTTGAAAAAGGGCCAAAACACGCACACGTGACGATCGTGGGTTTAGTTTCCACGCATAAAAACAACCCATCTCCCGGCGATTTGGGAAGTGAGTGAGTCAACCTGTCCGCTCCAATGCCAATGCTGACCCGGCCAGTCTGGCAGCAACTCCGACGTCATAAAAACTTTCATGACGTAATCAAACAATGACGTATTGAGGACCATATTTACTGAAAAGTGAAATTGCATTGTCTAGAACAGCCATTTGCACTGTAACGCATGCGAATATCAGTAAATGAGCTTTTTGCATCACATCTTATGCTTGTCTCAGTTTCTTAAACTGTAGAACATCGTCTTTAAAACCTGCATATGTGGGTTCATGCGTCTGTGCCTGGGGAATGTTGGCGTGACCTTTAATTGTTTGTTTCGCTGATGTTCTCGGTATTGGGTTCGTCTTGGTCTTGCGTTCTAGCCCCTTCCACGCCACCACCGCATGCCGCATGACGCCTAAAACAGACATCCGTTTCGAAATGAGCCAGGTGGTCGGTGAGACTTAAAAACCCAATCATTGTTACGGTCATTAGCTGATGCCCTGCGTCATGCAGCTTAAGACCATATCGGTCGAGTTCTGAACCACCAGCGTGTTCGAAAGCACGTTGAAGGCTGCTGCAACGCCTCGAAGCATTCCAGCAGCGGAGAGCGAGCTCACGTCGTTCTCCTGCCCGCCTGACAGGGAGGACATGTACGCCCAGGAGAGCATCGACCTCCTGCAGAAGTCGGGCATCCAGTTCCCGGTGCACGACGACGAGGGCATCGAGCCGTTCGAATTCGCCGAGCTCATCACCACCTCGGGCGTCGTGCTCATGGATGACGTCAAGTGGATCTCCTTTCACAGGTACCGCTTCGGCGTTCAGCCTCCCCCCACGCCACACGTCCCCCATTCATTGTCGGTTCTGTGTGATTGCTGTCTAGCTTATGCGGCGGTGCCCCGTCAACCGCCAATTTAAGGTGTTAAATGCACTGCACACCAAGTCTCCGTTAAATGTTGTGAGCATCAATGCGCGTACTGAAGCACAACGTGACGCTGCTATATGTTATGCATTCTTATGAATGAATG